TTTCCTCTTTCTCCGAAATAGTGTTTGTTATAGTTGTTGCACATGTTGAATAAAAAATTAAAAAATCTTCTTGCCCTTTGGTGTTGTCCGCTTCTCCTGCCTCTCGGTCTTCATCCTACGAAACAAATATTATATTAAGTACTTAAAAGTATATGCAATAAGAATTTAAAAAAAGCTACAAAAACTTTGTACATAAAAGTCAGTGTTGTTAAAACCAAATTTCCATTTATCCCTATCGACGTTATATAAAATCCCTACAATTCCCTACGCAAAAAAATGGAGGGGAAACTGTTACAAAATTCAAAAGAAAATAAAATAATGATGAAAATAAAGAAAATATCACATATAAATGAATATAAATATATATTAGTTTCAAAGAAAAACTGTATACATATATATGTACGTATATAAATATATAAACATATATAATAAAAATATATAAGTGTATACATATATGTACGTATATAAATATATAAACATATATAATAAAAATATATAAGTGTATACATATATGTACGTATATAAATACATAAACATATATAATAAAAATATATAAGTTTTTATATATTAATATAAAACATAAGTTGGACTTATGGCACCACAGAACATATGGCACTACAATGATTTTAAAAATCGCTACATTTTGGGCCTTTTTAACTAAAAATTCCCTACTCCCTTTTTGTAGTATAAATTCCCTACGTTTAGGGAGAAATCCCTATTTTTAACAACACTGGTCAAAAAAGATATTTCCATGGTCAACGAAGGCCAATCGCTCTCGGCGTCGAAAAGCACCCGGATGATAACCCAAAGACACTACATATGTCTATATGTGGATAACCACTTCCGGGTGGACGCCACGCGGCATCTAGATACTCGTGTACCGCGGTGCCTGCGCGCTGCAGTTCGCGAGAGGGGGGGAAGGCGGAGGGACGACCGGTAGGCGCGGTAACCGGGGTAACCCTACCAAGAGTGCCAAGTGTGTTGCCAGACTGTCAGTCAGGTGGATGTCTTCCGGGCGAGATCCTTTATTTTTCCATCGCGTAGTAGCTTAAACTCCGACCACCGCGGCAGGATGGAGTGCATTTACCGATTACCGTTCTTAATCCTGGAAGTGCCTAACCTAAAGCTAAAAAGACCGTCCTGGTTCGTGAAGCCTAGCGCTATGATAGTCTTCGCTTTCATACTGCTGTCGTACTTCTTGGTGACGGGAGGTTAGCCGTGTTCAAATTCTTCCGAATTATTTATCATTATCGCGTTATAAAGTTACATGATTTGTTATATGATTTAGCGTAACGATATAATATTACCTTATATCATTTTTGACGCTTGTAATATTACGTTTGTTTTGTCAATCGTTCAGTTTTACACGAGCATATTTTACAGGAATCATATACGACGTAATTGTCGAGCCGCCCAGCGTAGGATCCACGACGGACGAGCATGGTCACACGAGACCTGTAAGGCTATATTATCGAAGGAACCATTTCATTTTTCAGCGATCTGATTATTTTTTTGATGTGAAAAATCAGCGCGATCCTTGCAGGTAGCGTTCATGCCCTATCGCGTAAACGGACAGTACATCATGGAAGGTTTGGCCTCCAGTTTCTTGTTCACGATGGGCGGCTTGGGCTTCATCATTCTGGATCAGACGCACGGCCCGTCGACGCCGAAGCTCAACAGAGTTCTCTTGATATGTGTCGGATTCCTCAGTATACTTGTGTCGTTTACCGCATGCTGGATATTCATGAAGATGAAACTTCCGTAAGATATCAGCCTCGAGACAATCTCCGTGTGTTATTATTAGACAAATTATTATATTTATCTTTTTATTTTCAGCGGGTATCTGCAGTCCTAAATTATAAGCGATTGTGAATATTATGGAATGTGCGGTGAATTGCCATTTTTATATAACATTGTGGGATATTGTAACAGTGGATCGGTGATTTTTGTAATAAAGTTATAAGCAAAACTAGATAGTGCTTTAGCATCATTATTATTTACAACATAGGAAAAAAGATGTTATATAATTTTTAAATATATATTATAGATAAAATTATAAATATATATATATATATAACTATTAGAACTAAATTCTCAAATAATATATATATATTTCAATATGGGTATGTATTTTTTAACTGCTTATCAAACATACCTCTAGAAATTCGTAATGGAAATAAATTTTCTATCTTTCGGCTGAAGCAATAAATACAAGTCAACATAATGACTTTGAGACGTCAAATTTTAGTGCATTTGTTTTACCTTCATTTCGTAACATATATATTTTTTTAAATACTTATTTTTAAAACGCTGGTCTCAAAAGAGAAGAGATTTAATTTCTCTTCATTGTAGAGCCTTGGCACATTCTGTAAAATCGTTGGTCGTGTTTTTTTTTTCTCTTCTGAAGTATGCATTAGGCCCATATTTGCTGTTATAATTAGATGGTCGATTAACGTTCAGTCTTTCATTGGCGAATTCGTTGATACATTTATAAACGAATGCGAAAGCTCCTGTAAAAAGATTTTTAACGTTATTTATGAAACGAATGAAATTACGATTTTACAGTTACGATCTTATCAAGCGTTCTTACTTAGAAAAGTCGCTGCTCTTCTCAATAATGTGCTCAAACTCGGCGAAGCTGAGCGCACCGTCGTCATCCAGATCGGCCTCGTCGAGAATGTACTGGAGCAGCTGCTGCATGTCGCTGTCGTTCAGTCTCTGGGGCGCGGTTAATCTGTCGACCACTTGCCGTAGGTCGCCCACGCCGAGCATATCGTCGCCGTCAAAATCTTCACAAGTACAAGACCTCGATTAGTAGACCCGAGTTGAAGACGCGATTTTCAGCACCGTGGATAATCGATTTCGGCACATTTGTCGCTTACCGAATATTCTAAACGCGTGCTCGGCCTTCACGGCTTTCGGAGCAGCGTCGCTGAACACGGACATCATGTCCAGGAAATCCTCGAACGTGCAGTCGCCGTCCTGGCTGGAGCTGAAGACCTTGCAGATCCTGTCGCCGAAAGGATTCACCCGCAGTTCGGGGTACTGCAGGATCTTGGACATCGGCAGCTTCGCGTTCTTGTTGTGTCCAACCTTCTCCGGGGCTAGCGCCTTGAATTTCTGATGCGCGCTACGAAGGAAGAACCAAATCGATTAACAGCCAATCTAAAGCCAATACAATCAATTTTAAAAATAAATATTCTCAAAAATATTTTTGTTCAAATGAACAAAAACATTCAATAATACATCATCGTTGATACTCACTATAGGACTTCCTTTTTAGTGAAGTACGTTAAGTCCTATCGATAAAGAAAAACATAATTGATTAAAAAAATTGATAAATTAATGTCAAAGCAAAAAATAAACATAAATAAAGCAAGACTCTTACCTGATAGTCCTGCAACTCTTCCTCCGTGAATTGACTCTTTCCCGCGCCCATCCTCGCGAAACGATGACACAGCGGGTCAACAAACGCCTTGCACAATCAATTATTTTGACGAAGAAACTCAGTCATCGTCAATTAACGTTAGACGCTGCTCCACTAATTTGTGAGAGACATACGTCTCACATCACACCTATCACAGTTATATTTTGAGGCTTAAAGGTGGATTTACTCGAACGTGAGGAAGCGCTGTTTGGAAAATTTTAAGCCTCCCTGACTGGCCTGTCGAAATTAATTATTTCGCAATCGTCGGGTAATGAACGGGTCGTTGCACACCGTCGAGCGAACTGTATCGCTCTGACGCTCGCTCGCACCATGTGTCAATGTGTGTAATTGTGGCTTTTAAAGGGCGCTGTGTTTATTGATCAGCGCGCCGCGCCGGTGCAAATGGTGCAAGTTCGTCGAGGCACCTGCGGGCGGCTCTGCTTTATCTGCATCCTCTGCACTCGGAATGGGACGCAGATATGCGTTTGGCCTTGGTGGAAGAAGGAGGTGCAAGGAGGAAGGTGGAGAAGTGACACGTCGCGGCGAAGCCGATAAAGGCGGAATTTCTGAACTCTTATTCTAAAATTTCTAAACACCGGGCTAACCGAACGAGAGAGAGGTTAGAGTATCGGAGGTTGGACTGATTGAACTGTGTTCTCGCGACAAAAGACGAACGATGGCGACGGAAAAAATCGGGAAGATCCTCAAAGACGTCTACTACGATCCGTTCAAGTGGTGGGTTTGCGAGAGATCAGAAATCGCGGGGTAGAAATCGAGGGTACCTGGCGAACCTAACCTCGATTCTGCCTCGCGGTGCTGCCGGATTACTTAATTCTGACTGATTCTTACTTAATTCTCGAACTCTTCAATTTTCGAACAATCAATTATTGTTCATGCTTCGACAGTTAAACTGTTATTGAAAGTCCCTCGTGTTTACCGCGGTTCTAACTAAAATTTCTCTCGTACTGAGACTACTTTTTTCCTTTGTTACTACTTCATATATATATATTTTTTCTTTATTTTTCTATATTATGAAAGCAAAATTATTAATACGCGCGTCTACGGATCGCTCAAAACAGATCTATCGAATATAAGTATAATTTGCACTTGTTTTAGAACAACTAATTTAAGGCATGTGTTTATAATCTCGTATTAAAACATGTATTCGGCGAGATGCACAGAATAAAATTTTGTATCTTGAATCATAAACGATTTAATAACCATATTCTTCTTAGAGATTGAATGAAAATGTGTGACTATTCCAAGTTACAATTATTTCACTGATTACCCCCTGTGAAAAATAATTATTTCTATATTGTGAATATTTTCAATGTATATCTGAATCAATTTCTGCAGCACATGTAAATATCCGTTATTAATATTCACTATTTCTCCACAGGTCGGTGGTAAAGAACATTGCTTTCTTCGTCGTCGGCGTCAAGATCGCCGTCGAGTGCAACGGGATGACCCTCATGCCGCCAGTCTCTGTTTAAGTCTATCCACGTTCGTCATAGGATTCCAGAGGAGAAACTGTCCGGATTAATGTTCCAGCGGTTTCTCGCGTCTCGTACACGATTACAATCATCGCAGGAGTATATATATATATACATTCAATTTTATCTGTACTGTAAAAACTGTATATTGCATATCTGAAACGCTCTTGTTAAACCATATATTGTTAATAAATGATATACACCAGTATTTGCCGTATTTTGCGTTTGCAATATTTACGACTTTGATTTATAACTTTTATCAGCTTGTAATTTGTATAATTTCCTGTTTAAAATTTTTCTCTGCTTGTTAAAAGAGAATGAATAAATAATTCTATTTATGTTAATGGAATGGCGGTTACTCGACAAATTATATATTCGCCAACTAATGTCCTTACTCCAATAATTCCAATTTATTAGATTCGTTCGTGGTGTGATCAGATTGAAAAACGCGCTAGTTTCCTACATCACCTACACGTGACCGTTTCCTCCTGCTTTCTCAACTTCGGGAAAGGTGGCGACACGGAAGTGTGATAAGCGCATCACAGATTTACTTTTGTGTATATAAACGCCTAATCTGAAAATCTCGTGTGAATTCACGTGCTGATTCACGGACCTCGTTGGCCTTGCCTGGTTGAACATTAATTCAGCTGAGGTTGCAACTTGTTGTTTAGGGGAACCACCGCAATTTCGCGGAGGATAGATTACTGCGTATGATGTTAGAGTATCTTAAATACTTTTTTTATTATTGCGTGGGACGACATGTGACCCTTGGAAACTACTACTGTCAATAAAGATATAAACTCTTAAAGTAGAATATTTTTTCGCCGGGAAACTTATTGTAATCAACATGAAGGACGAACTGGAGGGCAGTTGTAATTCCGAGCTACCAGGTAGACTTGAAATATAAACAATTAGAAACCAAAAATTTTTTGTCTATCAAATAACTCAATAAATGCTGGATCAAAACGTCTATTTGCAGCTGTGATCGGAGCCTTATTGGATACCCTGGACGACAAGAATCAGGACGTAAAGCGGTCCGTGATCGAGTCGATTGAAAGAATAAGCAAGAAGAATCCGGAGGTCGTCATCCATGCCGCGATATATTTTTGGGAGATGCATAAAAAGGTACTCGATATTTAACGTAATTTAGATTGGAGATTGCTGTTGCGTAGCAGCCCGTATCGTGATCGTTGCGTGATCGTTGCTGTTCAAAGATATCCACGGAGCACATGGGATCCCTGTTGAACATAATATCCGGCGTATGCAGACATTCAGCTACGGGTTTGAGCGTAGATCTAGTGACGTCCCTCGCCGAGGTGGCGGTCAACGAGTTGATAGGAGAGACTGAGAACGAGGCGGCCGAGCTGTTGATTGAGCTTTGCAAGATACACTGCATGCAGGCTACGGGTGGACTTTTAACCAAGTACGCGCTGATGACACTTTCTGTGATTATAAATTAACTTATTTCCGATAAAAGCACAAAGTTGTACATAATATAGATCTACATCTCTAATTTGTTGATAATACATTATATTTGATTGTATCTGTAGATTGGAACCTGGGATAATTCCTAATCCCGCGATAGTTTTCACAATAGGAAAGCTCGCGGCGGCCAATCCGTATGGGATGCTGTCCTTTGTCAAAATAACGTTGACTATCATGTTACCGATGCTGAATCAAGTGCGCGAGGAAGTCCTGAAACAAGCGATCTGCTTCAGTAAGTAAATACAATTTATAATACTCCTAATAAGATTAATGCAGCTCTGTGTAATTGATTCTTTTTTTCGTTTCTAGTGATTTCCAAGTTTTGCGAAGCTATAAACGATTATATATTGAACGGAGATGACGCGTCTCTGGGAATTAATAAGCAAACTTTTGTGGAAGAAATTTTTTCCGTTTTTGACTTTCTGACGTCCAATTGGTTGAAGACATCTCGCGATTCCAAATCAACGGAAGCTATTTTAACGACACTCGTGCCTATGGTATCTTTGCTGCCTATGCAGCAAGATAGCGAGAGAATTGTAAAATTGATACCCGTATGCTTAAGCCTTTGCAAAAAACCAAATACACGTTTAGCTGCTGTAAGGTGAGTTTCATCATTTACAATAAGTTTATTCATTCACTACTGTTATTTCTTCAATACTTAAATTTGATGAACGTTTATCTCATTTAACTAATATTATTATTACGTTAATACAGAGTTTTAGCTGTGATTTTAAGCTCAGTTGAGACTGAAAATGACAAAGAGGCAATCCGCCCATTTATGGAGCACATCCACCAAACTCTGTCCGAATTCGTTAGTATTTGTCCCTTCGAAGCAGCTCGGGATGCAGTTCTTACGCATTATGAAGTGTTGCAATGCTCCAGATCATTGGTCATCTTGTATCCCGAAGAAGGCCTCGATAGGTAGAAAAAAAAAGAACACATTTTTCCACTTAATTAAATTTCAAGACTGCGAGAGTTTTGATCGCTCATTTTTTTTTGCTCTCTTGCAGAATCCTGCAGCAATTGAAGTCACCGATCGCTAATCAACGCGCTCGTGCTTTGGTAGTCCTAAGACACCTCATAAACACCCTTCCGCCAGAGGTACGGAAATATGTAATATATGTGTGTAATTTCATTAACAAGCGCAACACAATTGATACATATATTGTTTTATTTAGGACGATGGATCCCTGCAGAGAATCGCGCTTAGCCTGCAGGAGTCTCTCGGGGAGAATGGTGCGCTCCAAATGGTCGGCGCTATAGTGGCACTCGCGGCACGGCCGACGTTTCCCCTTTTGCCATCGCAGAGAGCTAGATTCGTTCGCTATATGGTATGTACGTAAGCGATGCGCAATGTAAAATAAGAGAAAAATAATTGGGAAATTAATTTTATCCTAAAATAGGTGTCACATTGCGAAATAAAGAGCGACGATATGGAGGCATGTTCCGAAGCTTTATATCTGCTCGCGACGACAGTTGACGGTGTCGAATCTTGGCTTTGGCCGTGTTTAATAAATGCATTACTTGACTCGGCTTGCGTGGCATCTGTAAGTAACAATCTCTATTCATAGGATATTCATCGTGTATTAAAAATGCCTGTATCTTTTATTTTAATTATATTTAATTTTAAATAAATTTAATATAAAATAAATCTGTATCTAATTATATTTAATTTTAAATGAAATATAATTAGATACAGATTAATTTTATTAAACTAGTACATTTATATTAAACTAGTACATAACAGGCGCGCGCTTCGCGCGCGCTGCGTATTAAATCCCGTACATCTTCCAATAACATTTATACCAATTTACAGTTTAATTAAACAAATGTTAACAATTTTCAATAAAATGACGTTTTAATCGGCCATATTGAATCGGCCATTTTTAAATAAAATCACGATTTTTTAGAAAATAATTCACCTTTAAGATAAGCCCAGAAAGAAATCGATATTTTTATTTTTCTGAAAGATATGAATTTTTAAACATTGGGCAAAAAGAAGCTTCAATGCAGATAACACGGCAATTTTAAGTTAGGATTTAATGCCTGTATCTAATTATCGTTCTTCTCTTTTTGCAGGTCACATCCGTGCTACGTTCACTATCTCCGTTAGCGGCAAAAATAATACGTGAAAACTCTTCGACAAATGAGAGGGATTTCCCTGGTACGAAAGTCTTGGGCAGATGCCTGGAATTGTTAAGCAATCCGGCTAATCGACCCGCAGTAATGGCCTTTTTAAAGTCGGCAGCGCCTCTGATTGGACATCAAGTGAAATCTTATTGGGATGAGAAGCTGCAGGAACTTTCGCAGGAACTTCTGCAAGATGAGAGAAGCTTCCGAAAGGGCTCTAAAGAAGTGAAAGACGCTATGCAATGGTAATATTTTTTAATATATAACATCGAGATTTGTCTTTTGAGTTTGCCTCTTGTCAGAAGCGTGATGACCCCTTAATCGTATTTCTGTGCGCTCTATTTACAATTTTATATAAATATACCTACAGTTTTAACGCCGATTCCGAACGGCTTAATTAGAGGAGTTCTCATGTAAGATAATTTTCGGTGGTCTGCTATTGCCTTCCGAGAGGTAGCGATCGAAATAAAAATCCAATGTTTCTGGTGGGATTTAAACTCGGGTTTTCGATACAGAAAGCAGACACACAAATCTCTGCGATCATTACCGATTTGTACATGTATAAAAACATATAGTTAAAAGTTTTTTTAAATTTTTTTTTTAATTTCTAGGGATATAATCTGGGAGAAGAAAGTGGTCGAGTGGTTGGAAGAGAGCGTGAAGCTGGAAGGAGAGTCGTGGGGCGCAAAGCTCGCTGACGAGCTCGCATTGAAAACAAACACGCCGGGTGTGGCGCCGCTCTTGGCATCTACCTGCAACAACAACGCTCACATCACTCTGCTCGTCGAGCTCGCGCGTTCTCACGGCGCTACCAAGGAATTCGCGCGAGCAGTCGGCATCTGCGCGAAACGGCATCTAAACATCGTGCTGAAATTAATGGAGGAATTTTGCACCGCCGAGGATGGCAGAAAGGCCCCCGTGAGATTGCTAGGTTTTGTGAAGGACACAAAGGCCGCCGCTACCGCCGAGGCTGCGAAAGCGGGTTTATTGCAGTCCTACGCCGAGATCGCGCAGAAGGCAGATCCGGAGGAGCTTTTCCCCGTGTTTGAAAAGCACGTGTTACCGTGGACTATTAAACAGTTGCACGAATGCAAGGAACTGTCTACGAAGGAAGCGGGATTGTCAGTCTTGGAACAAGTAATTTAATTCAATATTAGTCTTTTTTTTTCTCATGTGTCAATATCAGATTAGCCCGAAATTCTTAATAAACCACACGTCACATCGATTTTAATAAATTCAATCTTAATAAACGATTAAATAAATCTTTAATTAAATTAGGTGTGAAATGTTTTCCACTCGTTGATTTGTAGGTGGCCAATGCTGTTCATCCCGCCAGGTTGCCCGAATCTAAGGGTCTGCGCGCAAAGGCCACTGCGCTAGCCACTTTGTTGGGAATTTTGCAGTCGTCGACTGGATATAGGCCGTTACAACTCTATCCGGCGGTATTGAAAGCAGCGAACTCTCTAATGTATGTAACGTTTTGCTTAACGATATATTCATTCGACATCATAAATTGATATTATATTTTTTCAAACATTTTTCACAGACGTATACCGCCAGCGTTAAATAACGAGGAAAGAGAGATTTTCCTCAGTGCAATACTGGATAAGACGATTAGCGCCAGTTCGGAGGTAAAAATTAAGATTACGTTGTATACTTATCGATATTATTGATGATTAATGAATGTCTTTGTCTCAGATTGCTCTGCAGTTACATCCAGAAATAATGCAGCAAGTCGTGGATGAGCTGGGGACCGTGTCCAGTGAGATGGTATCCGATTCAGCGGACGCGCTAGCCGAGCTGGTTGACATATTATTACCCTGGATGCAATCCAAGTCGAATGTGGAGAGAAAAACTACTCTGTTGGTGCTGCATACAGTGCTCCAGTAATTATTACAATATACAGTCACACATATTCTTTACATTATACACACCGTAGATTTGTGTATAACATGCGTTCTCTTTTATTTTTCACACAGGTCTTATTATAATTCTTTGAAATATACATATCCAGGCGGCAAGTTGGATGCCGGAAAGCTAGTAGGAAGAACTTTGTGCTGGTGCGCGGACACGGAATTCGCGTTGAGACCGCTCGCGATAGATTGCATGCTTCTCTCTCTGGACATTGCAGCCCGTCATCGACAGGTGTTACCTGATAATACCTTGAGTGAAGACGTGCAACAAATAAAGAAGGAACTTATGATCGAAGACTCGTCGGTATCCTACGGAGCCGTACAAGTTAGTTGAATGTGCAAATAATCACTAATTCTATTGCGATAATAATTTCAACGACATAAATGACGAATGATTTCAATGAAGAAACTGTAAGATACAATTTATTTTTGTAGAGACTGGCTAATGCGGTATCGCGGAAAATCCCCAACGGCGAGATAGTCAGCTTAGCGGAGGGATTAATAGAAGGGCTGCTGTTCTATGGAGAAGCGGGCCTGGTGGCAGGCATAGCTCTCTCGCAACATTTTCAAATTAAAGGATCGGAGATATCCAGGACCGACGTTTGCTTAGTCGGTACGTAAATTATCCTGTCACCGATCGTGGTAAGATCTTTATTCAATTTTACGATACATTGCTGATTGAAAATGTTTTCGCTATTTATGTTATAGACAATATAATCGCGCAAATGAGACAGATGGAAAACGCGAGCTGCAGGTACATCGCGACGGTGTCTATAGTGTCGCTGATGAAGCACCATCCGGAAGAGGTGATCGAGCACCTTTTGTCTCAGCCGTTACCATTGGACCCGGGCACCGCGTTGTGCTGGAAAGAAATTGGCAATAACGACTTCCTTGGTCCCCGAGTATGTCTTATCTCTTTACGACTACACACATTATTCACAACTTTGCGTTAGAAATGTGTACGTTATCAAAATCTTTTTTCAGGCTTTGGATATGCTGCTAATAAAACTCGAATCCAGCAGTCTGTTCCTTGATATTACTATTCCGTCCATGCAACCAGGACGGAACAATACCGCATCTCTCCCGTCCTTGGCGGCCATCGTAGGTTTGAAGCATCTTCTCGAATCGTCGCATATGGAAAGCTTGATTACCGACATGCAATTAGCGGGATTGCTATCGATTCTTCTCAAGTATCTCTCGGGCTGGCTGCACGTCGACGCTCCCGCATCGTTGATAAATACGAAGTACGGCTACGTACCGAATCGGGCGGCGCAGAAGATAAATCCACACACGGAAGTGTATTCCATATTAACCAATGTATTAGCGATCATCCAGCCGAACGTTGCATCCAACTTGCCGAGGGAGACTGTACGTATCAAAGCGTTTTACACAAATTTACGAGCGCTTTGACTCCAAGTTATTAATGTGAATCGTTTGCACTTAGACATTTGCTTCCGAAACGCAAGCCGAGGAGAACCTGATATCGACTGTACGAACACTGATGAAATGTATATCGACTAGAAACGAGGTTTTGTCGAGCATGACGCAACACCTGGGCAAGCTGATGACCAGCACGATGGCCATACAGCGAGCGGTCGCCGCCACTTTTTACTCTGAATTGATTGGCAAAATAGATTGCGGAGCTATATGGCTGGAGGCCATAATTAATACCCTGCACGACGCCAAGGCCGATTCATCGTCCTTAGTGCGAAAGCTCGCTACCATCGGACTTGCTAGAATAGCCTACTTGGACCCGAGACAGGTAAAGGTATTTTTTTTTTCAACGCATATTTTCATATTCCGACCGACTGTTATTTTTTTTAGGTCGACGAGTATTTCGACAATTGCATGGAAGCCTTGCTCGACGGCTTGGAGGAGACCGCCGGTGGGGAAGGCGGTGCTGAGGTAGTACTCGAATCGTTGCGCGGCCTCTCGGTGCTGCTGTCGGTTCAGTACAAGAGGCCCATCAGCCCGCGAGTGGTGCTTGCCTTGAAACCGTTCGTCGAGAAAGAAAACTGGGAGATGAAGCTCGCCGCCATAAGCGCCCTGGGCGCGATAGCTACCAATTGGCAGAGATCAATTGCATTGCCGAATGACGATTTGATCGATCACCTTCTGGGCTGTTTGCCGTCTCTGATAATAAGACTGGAGGACCCCAATATAACAGTAGTCAAGGTACGTCTATACAGCGCATCCTTGCGAAACGTATTATTATACAATTACACGCTCGCATGTTTATTTATGTCGTTTATGCAACAGACTGCGCAGGAAACCTTATGTAAGACTGCAAGCATTGTACAGAGTGAGAGATTATCGGGCGTGATACGTACTAATTTGGGACCACAAGCGACGTTCAATTTCGAGAATTTTTCCAAAGACTTGATAAACTGTTTGAAAGAGGAATTCCCGCAGAGAGCAGAAGAACTAAGGTATAAATACACGATACTGTAATGTATTTTCTAATTCGATTGAATATTTAAAATGAATACATGTCCTGAGCTTTGTTATCTCTTTGCCAGAAATGCCGTTGCTCGCGGCTACTCCAGATCGGAGAATTACCACACCAGATCCACGTCCGCGCTGCTCTTAGGATTATTCGATTCCCCGAGGCCCGAGGACGTGCAAAGACTGTTGCAACTTCTGCGTGATCAAGAAAGTATCGTGAGAATACGCGCTTCGCAAGCCCTCTCGTTTTGCTTTACACCTTAGCATAGATGACCTTTCGATGATTCGTTTCGAAAATTTTACTTCAAGATGACAAAATTTTTAGAATTACATTTTTTTGTTCTTGTGATATTGTAAAGTAGTAAAGTAGATTTTCAAGAGTCGCAATTTATTTACTGGCCATATTATAGTATATAGAAATATTTTATTGTAATTATTAATTATGATCGATTTATTAGATAGAATGTAAATAGTCATTTGATTTGTTAGAATCATGTGGGGAGATATATTTTTAAATGAATTGATATACTGTTAATTTTAGTTTTAATCGACCAATAGATTTATTTCTTCTCTGTCGGCACTCCACACGCAATGTACGGTCTATATCCTGTATACGATGAAGGCAACTTGTCATAAATGACACTTAATTTATTGTCATTTATTAATTTTCTTATAGTGCACTCTTTTTCTGATATCTCTTTGCCCGTATGTTTCTCTGACTCACTATAAAAAAATTTTTTCAAATTATTTAGCTATACGATATCATTTCTTTATGAAAAAGAGAATTAATTACCATAAGTACGTTTCTTTTACACACGTGGCTGTTTCTTCTCGACTTTTACTTTTTTTATTGTAGCAAGTATCTATGAGAAAAGAACGACTTTGCATGCTATCCCATTTCTTAGCAGTTCCTTGAAATCTCACTGGCAAACGAGATATTTGTCGATCAGTTACCTGTAAATTATGTCAATCCGTTTAATTCCTATGAATTTTGTGTAGAAAATTTACAATAGTTGTATACGCTGTAGTAGAATAATACGGGTTTTTCTTGCTCCTCCACGTGTCTCTTCGGTAAGCAAGAATATTGTGCTTTAAAGTCGCCCCAAACTTCTTTCGTCGCTTGATTCATCGTTGTTTTATATATAAAGTCGATCATCAGTTTTCTTTTACTTTTATCTTGTACGTCATCTAAACTTACACTCGGCACCATGTACCGTCTTGGCCGTTCTCTGAATCAAGATTAAATTTCCAGGAATTTATGTACAAATATATGTATACAGAATCGAATATGTGTGAACATTTATCGATCTTGTTCAGAAATCATTACTTGATCGTGCTCTCCAGATATTTGTCTCCAAGAATACGTCTTTTCTCTGACGCTTTTACATTGATACTAATCATATCCCTCGGCTGCCACAGTGCATTGAATGCAGGACGTTTTGCATAGCTCAATCGTTCTAAAGTATCGTGAGCTGTAATCGTGCGTTGCGGTTGCGATAACCTTGCCGATTTCATCCTCCCAAATCTCTGTAGGAGTCTATTAAAATATTAGTCTGCAGGAGCAGAAACTAGGTTTTTGAAACTCCTGATAAATTAATTATATAGCAAATAATATTACTATTTATATAGAGCTGATTCAATATAAATTGAAGATATCTGGTTTGCATGATCAAGGAATGAAAAATGTAAAATAGATGTAATCATGGACATAATGTTTGAAACATCGGTTACAGAGTGCAGTCTACATAGCCTGTGAAAACGGCAATTGTTTTAGCGCGTTCTAAATACTAAATTAACATACATACTTTTACTTTTTACAATTTACATAGTAATAGAATAGAAATATTAATATATGTGATATATAATTGCAGCTGTGTGAAAAAAATGTTTCAAATTTTTTAATATATTCTTAATAATAACTTTACAATTTATTCACACACCTTCTTTTCATGTGTGCATGATACATTCATACAACTATGTCTAAGATTACGTTTACGACAGTCTTCGTTATTATATATACATTATATTTATACTATATGTATTAAAGAATGTATTTTTTATAAAAACTGTATAACAAATAACTGTATAATAGTATACACCTCCCCCTAAATACAAATATCATTACAAGAATTTTTAATATATATCAGTAAATACAAGTTAATCATTTGCTATGTAATTTTTCTATACAAACACTCAGCTGTTGAAGACGATGAAGCAAATGCCGCATATTCGCGCTCGATTGTCGGAGACCTGACTGCTCGCCGCTCACTTCTTGCCGTTGGCCCAGCTCGAAGTGCAGTCTGGCCAAACGCTCTTGCTGCTCTCGTTATTTCCGTCATCTGCTCCATACTACAATCTTTTCCTGCAAACGATTTTCTCATTAAGCACTTTATGTGCTCGTATAAATAAGTAACAAATACCAACCAAATGCTCGTAAATTGCCACTGTGAAAATCTTCCAGCAGTTGCAGCAAGGCTTGCTCCATGTGGCGAACGTCAGGAACCTCTGACAGAAAGCAATGGTGTTTGCATGGCACCACGGCTTTGTATAATAACGCCAAAACAAAATCAAAAGATGTGGAACTTAAAAAACTTAAACATAACGCTTAAAAAACTTAAATAACGCTTATGAGAAAATTATAACAAATTTATAAAATACAGGGATAAACATGAACACATTTATAAAATGGAAAGTAAGTGAAATAGAATTAGAGAACCAAGGAAATTGAGAAGATGAAAAATCATTGAATTTAAAATAATTTCCAGAGCTTCAATTACCTTTGTGCTGTCTTACAATTCTCGGCGGGTCCGGCCGAATAGGCCTCTGCTTATCCTTCTCATTAAGATACGTCAGTCGAGACTGATTGCCGGTGTAATTGGAAGCGTTGGCAGCTCGACTGGACACCATGGAGCCCTGACTCGTCCCTTGACCGGAGCTTCCTTTACTAACAATCGGCGATGTCTGCGTGTTATTTTCCCACAATATTTGTTGCTGCAAAGACATCACTTAGGAAAATAATTACGTTATCGTATCGTCGTCGCTAATATAACAGGACGAGAACGAGCAATTGTACATTGCGAGACGTTTCATACCGATATGTTGGAATTGTGAACTTCAGCTTTGCTCGGACGTTGAGATCTCGCTGGCGTCGACGGGGGAGTGGCTTCTCCTCCGTGGCTGTGCGGCTCCTCGGATTCCTCCTCTTGAACCAACTGCTGCAGTTCGCCACATCCAGCCGCTTCCACCATAGCGACGAGAAATGTGCGATATCGGTCACTGGAAGAGCTACTGAAACGCAGGTTATCTGTTCAGATAATTTGATAATTACAGGATACACTTGTGATAATTACAGTTTAGGTGATTAAACGTTCTGTTGATGGCATTAATAAAAAGGAATCGGAGGCTGCATATTTAAATGTATCATTTAATATCGTATTAACTTTTATTGTTTACCTTTCGCCTCTCGTAAACGCGTAACCTCATTCACAGCTGTGGAACTGTCACTTATGAATCACGAGTCACGACGCATGGATGTCTAGATAGGTTACGTATCCAAGACGAAAGTGCTCAAGTTTAGGTGTACTTTTTTTTTTTTTTATGCGATTTGGCACTCGCGTGCTTCCCAGTGCTTCCGCGTCTGTCAGGAATAGGTGCGTCGATCCGCAGTGATCAGCTGATTGTGTTGTTGTGCACTAGAATCCTTTTTCTTCGATTTCTTCTCGATTCAAGTATCATCCTGTTTTATCTCGCGTGGACTGGAATAACGTACATATCGTAAGTTTCTTGATATCTGTATACATATATACCGAGTATGTATATACATAAGATTTTTTTGTCCATCGCACGTTGTTGTTGAACTACATGTACACAATAAAATGTAAAATACAATGTAAAATCAGGAATTGTAAGCACTTATTAATATAACATTTTATTGTATAACTTGTTCATTTCTTGAAAATTCTCCGCATAGTTTTGTGACGAATATCTATTTTAGTCATATTTTAGATATCGTATAACCAAAAATTACGTTATAACCTATACTTCTGTTTTAATCGATTAATTTAAATGAAAAAAGTATCTACGTGCAGCTTAATTGATTAATAAACGACTTGTCAACGAGATAAGCAAAGAATTTATATATTGATTAGCTCTTAAAATATTTTAGCACGCATATACGTTTATTGACAATAATAAATAATATTTGATTTTTATTACTTTTCTTAAAACCTTAACTGTTAAATCATTCACAGTAAATATATATAATTACTGAATGCTTTTACTATACAGACACAAGACTCATTGTGCCATGGCAGCCAAGGAAGAGGTAAATAGTACAACTATTGATGCAAAGACTGAAGAGACGCCGGAAAACTCGACGACGGAGGACGCGCCGACCAGCCTAGAGACCATCCCCGAGGGAAACGCAGTGCGAAATGAACTTCAGACAGCGCCGAAGGATAAGTCAAAGAGTACGATCTCACCTTCGTTTACATACAATTTTATAAGAGCATGTGACAAAGTATAAACGAATTTTTACATTGAAATTTCGCAGTTGATATACTGCTGAAAGCCACCGCCAACGCTCCGATCATGAAGCAGAAGAAGTGGTCGGTCAGTCAAGACAATCCCATCGGGCGGATCTCCGAATTCATAAAGAAGTACCTGAAGCTGGATCCAAACGAGAGATTGGTGCGTCGAAATACTTCTTTTCGATCTCTTCTGTCAACACAGGAAGGCGACTATAGTAATGAATTTTTGCGTTTCAGTTTCTCTATGTCAATCAGACGTTTGCACCCGCTCCCGATCAGACGGTCAAGAACTTGTACGACTGCTACGGCGCCGAAGGAAAGCTGGTCATACATTACTGTAAAAGTCAAGCATGGGGCTGAGGTTCGTTGAAGTTAGCTTGCCGACGTTAATTTTTTCCGACAAAAAATAATATATAAATATTACAGATTGACAGGAAACACATTGTGATAATTCTAGTTTTCTATTACGATATTTTAATTTATGCGTATTTATAATATAATTATAATACCAGGTTTTTTTACTTTTTAACTCATTGTTTTGTAGGAGTATCTCTGCTAGAATTACACGTTCGTGCTATAAAGATACAAAAATGTTGTACAATAGTTTTATTGTGCGCATCATCCTTTAAATATAATAATATTAGAATCTCGAGTAAATTAATCGGTCTAAAGAAATGATTGTGCATTATGTCTTTGACGTAATGGATCTTTTGCTGCATGAATCCGAAGACTCCTTCGGTTTTTCCGTCGTCCTTGCTTTGTCAGACGATTTATCGCTCTTAGCGTCTTTGCATTGGTTCGGTGTGCCTGTGCTTGATTTCGAGCTTACTGAGCTCCGCGACGTACATTTGCAGACGGACGTTCTTTCCTCGATGGTCTCCTTTTTGGAATCTTTGCTCCGATCAGAAGCACCTGATAACGGCTTCTGATCACCTGTCATTAAATAAATAAACATGAATTGTTATAACAATTTATATTGCGGTACTCGTGATTTATTTTACTTTGTCATTCAAGAATATAATGTACACTTACTTGTACATGATGAACTAGATTTTTTGGTAGATCGTACGGTCCGATCCGCCGCGACGCTTTCAACATCCTCCGCTTTTTGCGAAGCTAATTTATCCACATCCTCGTCGGGCACGCTACGTATCGAGCTAGCGGCTCTTCCCGACTGTTTCACGCTCTTGGAGTCCTCCAAAACCTCCTCGAGCGGATATTCCCAAATCATAATCGTTCCGTCAGCGCTGGCCGTCACCACGTGCTTGCCGTCCGTGCTGAACTTACACGCGGTGATTATCGCGGCATGGAAAGTGCCAACGTGGGTGAGATCCGCGCTATTGTACTCCCAGATCTTGACGGTGCAGTCGTTGGATCCGGTAACGAAGTAGCGGCCGTCCGGACTGATGTCCACGCAGTTTATCGTACCGGCGCTGGAGCCTTCGATATCCCGCACCAGCGAGCCGTCCAGAGTCTCCCAGTAGGCGATCTTCCGATCCGTGCCGCATGTCAAAATTTGAATACCGTCGGGCGTGAATTGCGCCATCATAAACATCGTGTTGTTCATGAGAATGTGTTTCCTGTTGTAGCGTCTGTTACGAAAGGATCCGGTGAAATACTCCCCACTCTTGCGTCAACTTTAATTAATTTTTTAGTCGAAACTTACATTATGTCCCAGACGACGCACGTGCCGTCCGTACTCGAGCTGATTAGGTCCTCGTTGTTGCTCGAGACATGCAAAGACGTTATCGGGCCCCGATGTTCCTTCAGTATAGTAATCAATCGCCGCACGTCAGTTTTTATGTCCCATACACGCACCTGAAAATCGAACAAATTTCACGTTACACGGCAAAATTTATTGATTGCTTAATGTATAATTAATATAAATAGAATTAATTTTTCCGCAAGAACAGCGTGAACCAATCCGAATCGATCGTATAAATAACAATGTTAAATCGCATTTTATAGCTAGAAAGCGAAGTAAATTACCTGGCCGTCGCAGCCACCGCTAATCAGCGTAGTATCATCGCTCGTGACAGCGATCGTTGACACGGCTTTCGTATGAGCGTTATGAATGGAAAAATAAAACTCGCCGTTGTGCGAAGAGAACGCTCTTATTATGCCGTCGTTCCAAGCTGAAATGATAAAAATGATTTATTTTAATTTAGACACGGTGACGATATAGCGTGCACTATCGTATGAAAATTGTAATTGTTAAAATTCTCGATAATGTATAAATTTGACCAGTTGCACGTACCAGAAAGCAGCATTTGATCGTCGCGCACGAAAAGTAGACTAGAGCAAATGAAATTCGCTACAGTGATACGAACTATCTCCTTCTGCTGGTTCAGTCGCCACAGTCTGACGTCGTTCTTGCTGCCTGTTGCGAATACCTCCGAATGATTGCTGCGACATTAGAGCATATACGTTAATCGAATCGGTCAATCGGCGTAGTTGCGGAATTCGGTGTTCCTTACCGCGGGAACGCGATGCTGTATATGCAGCTGGTGTGACAGGTGACGAGCAGGCGCATGTGAAAATTTGACAGCTGAATCTGATAGATCTCGCACCAGGACGTCCCGAGCAGCACGAATTCGTTCTTGTGCAGAACCATGGACGTCACGGCGCTGCACACATTTTCTGTTAGATGCTGATAAAAAAAAAAGATAATTACGATTTCGGTCATCATAAATTCTTCGCAAGTCATTTGTATATATCGCCAGCCTTTCGTTCATCAATTTTTGTTTCTTTTTATTCATTTTTGTGTAAGTTCCTATTTTTAATTCTGCAATAGCTTTATATCTTTTTCTTTTTTTTTTTTGTCTCTATTGCAAAGTCGTTTTCTGCTTCTTTTTTCTAACATAATATCTGCCGCGAAAAGTGACGACTTACAGTGAGTATCTGCGGCGTATTAGGGAACTTTGACGGCTTGTGCGTTCGGCTCTCCTTTATGTTTATTATTTGGATCAACTCGACGGTACCGTCGCCAGTACCGACCACCAGTTTACCGTCCTTCAGAAGCAGCAAACACCTCACCCCGCCCGCGTACAGATCGCCCTCGCCCATCTTCATTTTCCTCGGGTCGCGCGTTATCTTCGAGTAGCAGCCGATCAGCACCGACAAGCGCGTCGGCTCTCCGTATTGCAGATCGTCGCGCAAGTTCAATCTGAGTAAAAATTAAAAGAGACAATTGAACAGAGGAATGAGGACAGCGAACGATACAAAGCGTAGCGATGCGGCGATTAAAAGATAGATATATTAATTGAGGCGCTGCGAATACTCTAATTTTTCCACAGAAAATTCTCTATATGACCTTGCTTTAATGATATCACCGGAAGAAGTGCCGCAGTAGGCGATCTCATCCCTCTCGTCCACGACGACGCAGTTGACGAGGCGCTTCAGCTTGCCCACTTCCACGTCGAGACCGTGCATCCGACGCTTCTCCGCCTCGATCCGCCAGATCTTTAGCGTCCGGTCGCCCGCGGTAATGAAGTACTCGCCGTGAAGATGCGTCCTCGTAACGTTATACGCGTTGCCGCTCGTATCGTTGCTGGCGAACGATCCTGCGGAGGTTCGTTTCTCAATATTATGTGTATTTTTTACATATATTTACTGGTTGAATTGGTTACAGATCATTCGCGAAAGAATTAGAGAAACTTCTCTATTGTAGAAAAATATTTTGTTTCTCCAATTTTTCGAACATCCGACAGGGATTCCTCGCAGGTCTGTGTGAATATTGATGAAAAGGATTGTGAAAAGGATACCGCAAATAGGAGAATTCTCCTGGACGTCCCAGATGATCACGTTGCCGTCGTCCTTGCCGCCGAGGCTCACGAGGAAGTCGCTGTTGCAGGTGAAGCACAGGTCCACGACGTCGACCTTGTGCGTCTCGTAGCTGCCTTTCATCGTGCCTTCCTTGTAATTCCACACAATCACCATGGCCTGCGACGCGAAAACGCGACCGGTGAAATAATTAAAATATCGAATCACATATGAGAAATATTAAAGACGCGGTATACGCACTTTGAAACCGAGATGATTGTTCTGGCCGGAAGCGACGTATTCGCCGCACGGAGAGACGCACAATGTCGAGACATTGTTCGTGTGGCCGCTGAGAAATCGCTGCTCACCGGTTTCGATGTTCCTGATGGCGACCTTGTGGCCCATCGGATAGAGGAGGTGCTCCTCATCCGGATGCAATCGCAGAGCATTCTTCGTTATGCCTTAAAATTAAACAAAAAAATGGAAAGATATGGAAAATTATAAATGCGAAATATATGATTCGAAAAAAGTACAAAGAATGGTACACAGTAATTAATTGTACCGAGAAATATGTGGAAATAAAGGCACACGTTAAATATTTAATATTATTATAAAATTTCGATTTATCATTGTGTCCATTTTTCAGAGATCTAAACCTTGCTTTTATCTTAAAACTCGCATTTCTTAGTTTTCTACAAACTCATTATGTCACTCAAGATCAATTTTATTAACATACATTTACTTATTAACGTACATTTCTTGCATTTTTTATTAATTTATTTTGAATTAAAATCATTTAATTACTTAATTAAATTAATTCGTTTTGGATACAATTAGAAATTAAATCCTCATTATCTAAAATAAAAGATAAAAGGATTTTTCCATACACACCGTCAAAAGTAATTATTCCGATCACATCGAGATCCCGAGGCTCCATATCTCTTTGTTTATCAACTTTACAATAAATGTAAATGTATATTTACACGACTTTACGATAAAGGTTGTGTAATTGCGAAAACAACGGCGTCGTCACCGTGGTGATAAATGGATCGTTTACACACCCCGTGCACCCTTGTCAACCCTTTGAATTCCGTATAAGATTATTTTTACTTTAAAAAAAAGGTACAAAAGATTTCAGTGAAACGCGAAAAAATTATTGCACAAAACATGTTCTTTTAATACATTAGAAGATTGAAATATTAGATACCTTATTAAAAATATATTATAGAGATGTTTTGCAATACAGATTTAAAAGTATTAAAGGCAGATAATATTAATAATTTATAATTCTTAATATTTTGTATTATGTATTAAATAATTATATATTAAATAATTATATGTATATTATATATTTTTTTATTTTGCGGAACTATTTTTTCGGTCATCGAAATTACAGTTCTCGTTTGTGCCGATCTGACTTTCTACTTTTTATTCCAACCGTAATATCGGAGGGGGCGTTAGAGCATAATTTTTCAAAAATATTCACATCGTGAATTTGATTAAAATTAAATAACAAGATAATTGCGATACATTGATAACAATAATTAAGTCCGGTTCTGGATGAAATTCGATGATAGCGCACATATAAATGTATCATTTCCGGTGCTCTCGAACACAATCTTTAGAAACGTTAAGACAGATTGCTTTCGATAATTATATTTATATTTATTTATATTATATTTTATTTATATTTATTTATACAATATTATATTATCTATATTTTTCGCAATCTCTATATAAAATTTAAAAAAAATTAATTTAAGAGAATTATAGACTAATACAGAGATTACAAATGTATATATAATATATTTTTTAATTATCAATCACGAATCGCTTGGAGAACTTTGCAGATTTTGCTTCGATTTTATCTTGATCTCAAACGATTGAAATATTGTTTCCGTTGTATTGAAAAATGCATCACGTCACCTTAGATTTACGGAATAGCGGCCTTGTGACCTTGCGAAAGAGAGATAATTAGCATCAATATCGCGATCGGTATCGGACATCAGCATAAAAAAAAAACAGAGTTGCATGAATTAGAATTCACATGCGAGGATCCGAGCATCGCGATGTCGACGCGCGTTCGCCATGGGATCGTACGCGAATGGAATTCATCGTGCCGGTGAATTACGAAGCTGATTACGAGTGGTCTCCACGTAAACGTCGAAGGTAAACCGACGTGGAAGGTGAAGGTGAATGTCTCTAGTGATCAGTAAAGCAGACGTCATTCCCGTCCGTTCTCCACTTCGTCTGAAAAGTCGGATAATGCTCGCGCGGAAAAACGTTCGCGGATCGCACCAGAGAGTTATTGGAGAACCGGTGCGCGCGGTTCCGCCCGTTTCGAAACATACGCGCCGTGACACGGCACGTACGTTTTCTCGTGGAAAATCGACGAGCCCCACGCCGTCTCCCCTCTCCGTCGGTCGGCACGTTATCGTAGCGTCGTGACGTAAAGGTTCAACGGCTGCCCGGAAAAAACAGTACGGGGAAAGACACGGTCCCCAATAGAGCTCACAAAAACATCGCGAGCGTGAGCACGCGGCTGGCCGATTCACGCCGCGGCGCCCGCGACCGAGAGACCGAGCTTATCGCCTCCTCGCCATTCTTACCTCGCGTTTCTCTCTCGTTCCCCACCCTGGATAATGCGCGACAAGCAGCACATGCAGATATAAAAGCGAACTTAACGGGGGTGCCGGATTCAGTCGTTCGCGACACGTGTATACGATTTGGATGAGACGAGGGCAAGAGGAGACCAGTCCTTCGCGGTAGCACATCCGGAAGTCTCGGAGGAGCTCTTTGTAGCCCCTGAAAGGCGAAAGGGCGATCTCGAGCGGGGGAGGGTCAAGAAGCGCGAAAAGAGCCCACGTCGCTCTGTTTCCTCCCTTCCCATCCGGATTTCAACGATTAGCGATTAGGAAAGAGGAGCCATCCGTCTCGTCGACCCGTCGCGTGCTCCAAGGATATTAAATCCCAAGGATGATCTCCACGTTGAAAACGTGCTGTAAGTACGATCTCGCGTCGCGATCTCGCGCGCGAATCTCTCGCCTCTCGCGCGTCCCTCTCCGCTCCGCGGACTTGCCTGCCGGCTAAAAAAACGTCCGATCGATTTTCTTATTTATTGGATTCCGAGCGCGATTTGCTCGCAATCAAAACATTTCTATCGATCGCGGCTGATCTTGGCGAGTGCATCTGATCCCGTGCACGCTCGCGCGCGTGCGAATAATTTGTTTCATCGATACCAGAATACTGTCAAACGCTATCGCAAAGCCGGTCGTAGCGGATAGAAACATCGATATTTAAAATGCAGAAGAAAAGAATAGGTAGATAGTCATCTTCGCAATCGAGTTTTGCAATCTTTCAGTGGGTAAAGGCCTTCACACATAAAATTCCGTAAAGCCGTAAGACGTAAGCATAAGAAAATCGACTAATCCCAATTGAGTGGAGGGGTTACGGACAACCTAATACTAAATTGAGATTGGTCGATTTTCTTACGCTTACGTCTTACGGTCTTACGGGATTTTATGTGTGAATAGGCCTTAATACCGCCGTGAAGCTATCGCGATGCGCTGAATACCGTGGTCCGAAAAATTCCAATTGAATCGTTGATTGCCGAATATGTGCTAACTCGTCGTTAACGATCTATAAATCGCACGCGAGCTATCATCGATTCAATTTCGTGGAGGGGAGAAATAAAAATTTTGATAAAGAATAAGTAATTAAGTTTTAAGATAACATACTGACGTAAAAATGATGATAAAGTTATCTAATTGTACAGTGCCAATGTGTTAACGTGCAAAAATAGAACTGCCGCTCACCTGATTTCCTCGAAATTGTATCTTTTCGGGGACGCGGTCGCTGCAGCAAACACGATTCTCATGGTATCTTTCGTGGCATTTCGTTTTCATTACATAAATAATAATAATAATTTTTATCGTTGTAATGTACAAAAATTAATACCTTTATCAACTATAAGAAATGTAAAGAAAAAGTAAGGGAAGGAAATCGCAAAGTTAAATTGTGTCCATCGTCACCCCCGAAAATGCGACATCGCCACAAAGAATCATCGATTACTATTATAGAAATCCCAATTTGCTAATGCCGCAGCCGCGCTGGCTTTCACGCTCACCCGACCGCGGGAGATGCCTTGACATTAATTACAACCCGTTCGTTTGCCCAGATTACTTCCTGACGCGTGGCGGAACGCGCGAGGGTGCCACGGCCTGCGTCAATAATTCTAGTAAACACCAAGTGTGATACACGTTTTAGATTACAATTATATTGTTGAGTAAAAAATTATAACTAACAATTATGTTATTGTTACTTGGTGTTAATTGGTGTTCGCTAGAATTAATCCGTTCAACGGGAACGTACGTGATGAAACGGTCGACTCTCGAAGAATCGAAGGCGCAAAAGGCGCATCGCGGGAAAAGTGAAAAGAAATCCCGGAAGTTCCGATCATTGTCTCTATTTGTCGATCGTCGGTCGCGTTCGATTTTTTTTTCTCTCTCCTCCCACCTTTCTCTTTCCCCCGCGCGAACCTTGAGAGGCGCGTGAGACCATCGGCTTCCGGAAATCGACGCCCGTATCACATCTCATCGCGGAGAACGCTTTTTCTTTCGCATTTTTCGCATATCTAAGGCACGTGCGGACACGAGCGGCGAAACTCTCGCTTATGTGACATCCATGATGAATCATGCGTTCATTACGAGAATTCGATGAAACGAAGCATGCGATTACAGATCTCTCGCTGTATATATTAAGCTGTACAAAAAGTCTTCTCGATTTTTTTCTAACAAATGGCATTTGTCAAGCGTAACGTACGATTATGTACTCAACGAGAACGGAATGATGAGGCCACCTCAGAAAGGTGACAGAAAATAGTTGAAGAAACATTCAGTATTTTATAAAATATAATAATTTTTTTTTTTTACTTGACTTTTGAATTTCTTTTAAAAGAGAAACAAAAACATTCCAATCCAATATTGGCAAAGAATAGCTCGTGAAAGATAAATTTCACGGAACGATATCTTGATCCCTACTGTTGTATTTTAAAATATAAAGTATAAAAAAGTATGTTGTGTATTTTAATATTTGATTTAATATAACTTTGAAATAATCGGTCATTCAGCATGATAAGTTACACAGGTTATAATGTATTTTGTATGCTTATGTTTTTTCGAAGATGATTCAAGCAGAGTGCTTGAGAAAAATTAATATTACATTTTAATCATAATTCAACACATGGAATTTTTATCTAATATTTAACATATGGAACTCTTATCTAAATGCCCAATCTTAATTCCTTCACACCTCTTGCGGATCGCGTAATTAATTTTTAAATCATATGCTTTTGCGCTGGTGCGTCTGATTTCTACACTTTTAATAACGAGCAAATAACGTTAAATAATTTCCCGTAAAAGGGAGTTACTCTTTTCAGTTTCCATTATAATTTTTATATGTGATTAAAAATATTTTTTTACCTTGCATCAGAAAGCACGGAATAATTTTTATAACTGTAAATAAATCAATGTCAAATGAATTTCGACAAACTCGCGCGAAAAGATCCGTACGCTTTGCTCTCTTTTACCTTCAAGGGAGGAAAAATTACGCGATCATCTGTAGATGCGCTTCCCAATTTAATAGCATATGGCACGTGTCATGGTTAGTTTCTGTACGTGGCTAGTTTCTTCGTGCGTTCGCTCAATAACTACTTGTCTACGGCAATTTTAAACGTTCAATTATCATGCGTCGTTCGTTCAAAATTGCGGGGCTAAATTACAGAAATTAAGTCGGATCGACCTGTTTCCGCTATGGCGGAGTGTCATCTCGTTATCATCTTCTTGACGAATTAACGTTTATTAATTATGTTATAACAGTTAGTAAATGATGGTAATGAGAAAATGAAACGGGGGTGAAGGGGAGGAGGGGACAAGAAGGAATATTATCGGTAAGTCATTGTGAGCCTCTTCGGCGGCACATATACTTTCCGCGTATCGCGCAGATAAGATAGCGGCCGGCAGTAAGTATGATCGGCTTCCCTCGCGAGCAATGTCAAACGAAAAGTATTTGTCGTTACGACGGTTATCCGCGGTTATTGTCGATTATGCGGTAAAGTGACAAGCCGTTTTTGCACGCTACATTGCACACCAATATAAAAAAATTCCAGCTTATTAGTTCACGGCAACAAGGCCGGCGTTTGATATCGAGAGAGAGACCGCGCCCCCTCCCCTTGCTCATTGACATACAATCTGCAATGATCATTCACGCTTCAAATCGAAGGCTTCGATCGGAAAAACGATCGCCCGCCCGGAAAAAGACGGCGAGATTCGCGGGCTGTTGCAATTTATTGAGTTTTATCGCGTCGCGATTAGTCATCTATCTGTGTTGCAGAGAAGACATTCCTAACAGCTCGATAGGGAAATTTTGGCAGAGAGCATAGAATCGATCTGATTGCCAGTTAATAACGATCATAAAAAAAAAAAGATACAGAGACCGATAAACTCGGCTCTCGCTCTCGATTAATCGCATTTTTCTTCGAAGCCCCTTATCGAGTCACGATTTTTTTGTATGCTCGTTAAAGTTAGAAGTGCCTTGGAGAGACCCTAGCTAGTAAGCGATAGAATTTGGTTCGAGATTCCGAAGTAATCGATGATAACGTAAACTATTATTATTATTTTATTACTAGTATTATTTTCGTGCGACATATCTCTCTCCGAGAAGATAAATCGTCGATTTCTTTCGCGTCGGACGAGCCTGTTACAGAAAACGATTGCAAGCTATTGTGTTACCGTCGCGCAATCTCCGGGGAATTTTTGCAAGATAAACGATCGACGCGATTTCTGTCACGGACGAAAAGGTGGTCGCGTGATGATATTGATGACGTTATGATTTTTTCATTCGTTTTTTTGGGCCCTTGATTTTTTTTGGAATTGGACTGTGTGCCAAATGGTACCTTAATAAGAGACCTTATAATAAGATGTATACATATATGTGTAGGTACGTGTAACCTGCGTGTAAACAGGATAAACGCATCTGCATCAGCCGAGCCGAGGACGATCGACCTTGGGAGTAAAGAGCTAAAAAATCGCTCGTTCTTTGGGCCCTTGATTTTGAGACTGAACTGTGTGCCAAATGATATCTTATAATGAGACATTAATTATAGAAAAGTTTCAAGTTGAGGTGACAATTGTTATCAGAGCTGAAGGATGGGAGGGGGCGGGGGAGATGAACTCAAAGTTCATTATGGAATTATCACAGGTTTGCAAGGATCGGTATTTTAAGAAGATTGACTCAGCCGATGAAGGTTAATCGCAATTTTATGTAAATGACGCTCGTTTTGGATGTAAAAAACGTGGTATAAAAAATCGAGTTTTTGCGTAAAGAGACGTAATAAGTGACTCCCCCCTTCCAGCATAACAATTGTCACCTCAATCTGAAACTTCTCATGTGCAGTTAATAAAGATATTAATAGCATAACAATTGTCACTTTAATCTGAAACTTCTCATGTGATTAATAAAGATAATAATCACATGAGAAGTTTCAGATTGAGATGACAATTGTTATGCTGAAAGGGGGGAGTCACTTATTACGTCTCTTTACGCAAAAACTCGATTTTTTATATCACGTTTTTTCATCTCCCTCGCCCCCTTCCATCCTCCAGCTCTGATAACAATTGTCATCTCAACTTGAAACTTTTCTATAATTAATGTCTCATTATAAGATATCATTTGGCACACAGTTCAGTCTCAAAATCGAGGGCCCAAAGATCGGGCGATTTTTTTGGATCATAGCTCTTTACTCCCAAGGTCGATCGTCCTCGGCTCGGCTGATGCGTTTATCCTGCTTACACGCGGGTTACACGTACTTACACATACATGTATATACACGCGGTTTTTCACGTGTGCATGTGCTCCGGCATAAACTTCACGCATGATGCACGGGAATTGTGCATGCGACGCGAGCGTGTGCCGCGAAATTTGATCGCGTTCGCCGGCGCGTTCCGGCGCTTTTGTAAATTAAGAGAGATTGCGTGACGGCGGCGATGCGAAGTATGGTAGTATCGCCATTATTCCTGATGGCCGCTCGTCCGCTCGAAATCCCCGATTTCGATCTCGCGGCGGCACGCCGCGAGCGAAGTTGGAGCGTGGTATATTGTGTGTGAAATGTGTTACACAGATAGATATATTCGCGGGAAGCAATACGATCGAGATTCATCGTGGGGCCGTCTCCTCGCTCGCTCGCCTCGATTATAATCCGCAACTACGATCGCACGAGAGAATTACGTTATCGATTTTGGCAGAAGCCACCCACGCGGTGGAGGTCGTCGCTCTGAGTTTTTTTTTTCACGCAAACCAGCTCAGCTCGTGTATGGAAATCAATAAAATTTTACACGCTCGATTCTCGACCCGTCGAGGCGTCAATGTTTACACGACGTACCTATATCTTACAATATAAATTAAGTAATCGGAACACAATTGAGTTGCATGCACGCACGACGCGCCCGTCGTATCTTTGTAGAACGCGTTTATCGTGAAATTCCATATCGACGCTTGATTAATAAGTAAACAGAAGATAAGCGTAGAGCAAACAAAATAGTTCGGAATTAGAGGTTGTTTTGACGAGATGGCTCGCGTGACGATTAATTAATGCGCGAAAAATGAATTGCATGGCTGTCGTGAGAGCCGACGAGATTTCCGACGGTGTGTCTTTTTTTTCTATCTACAGATATAACGGGACGGGAGGTTTTCGAGATTAATAACGATAAGAATTCAAATACGGTAGTCACCTCCACGTGAAAAGCTGTAGTTATAATTAGAAACTCGAGTCGCACGGGATTTTCTAAAACAGTCGCAAGTATATCGCGACTGATTTAAATCGCAGTTATCATTGAAACGACGAAATATAATTTCGCAAGTCCGACAACGTGGTATCTGTCTATCTCGTCCGTTAAACGCGGCAGGTAATCCCGCAGATTTTTTGCGCGTCGCGCGCGATTTCTGAAACCTTATAGGATTATTATGACAGCGCGTCGTAAATCAACGTTGTTGTTGTGCGCGTGTGTCGCGTTCAGTTTATTTTCCGCCAATTCATACCGGAGAGGTAGCCTCGGCGGGGATATCGCGCAGATATGTCATATTCGATAATGATCTACTTCGAAGTTATGTGCTTCGATTCGTCACCGCGCGTACGGGAGGGAAGAAGAAAAAGAAAGGAATTCGCTGGTAATTCCCGGAAATCAATCAATGATATCGTTGCAAAAACAATTTTCACTTATCTACATGCTCATTCAACGGATTTAATTGTCACGGATAATTAAAGTGCACACGGCGACAAATCTAATATGATGATGACAGTGCGGTAAAGCCGATGCGGTGTCATCGATTTATCGCTTGTTGACATACAACACTTGTTAAGTGTGCGCCAACAACAAGAGTTAAGTGCATATCTCGTAAGTTCTATACGATAATAAAATCCAGATAGGGTCTGCCGCCACCGTGGCCAGTTTACCGTATGACTCTCGCGATCGCATTTCTCCCCTTTCACGTTCGCGTGTGCGTGAACGCGGCGGGAATAACGAAAAAGAAACCAACGGAACTATCCGTCGACGAGAAGGGGGAACTAGGGAAAAAAAGGAGGAAGTAGCGCGCGCGTCTGTGTGCGAAAACGATAGCGCGATTACGATACCCCAATGGCCGGATTGCGCCACAATTGCGTTCGCACGCGCGCGCGTGTGTGTATGTGTGTCGTGCGCGCGACACAAAGCCAATTACATAATGTTTAATATCGATAATCGATGAACGCATTTTTAATGTAATAGTCTCGTAATGTGGAGCAAACAGAGGATCTCGAACGCTATCTCGAACACGTTGCGTCGCGAGACTCTCGATCTCGTTTTACGGCGCGAGCGTAAAACCTCTCCCTTTTTTTCCTCCCTTTTCCTTTCTTTTTCGCTGGTGAAGGCGAATGTTCCGGACTTCGACTTCAGGAATTTTTCCTGTTCCGCCCTCTCGAGAGGCTACTGGGTCACACCGCCTCCCGCGAAAATAAGCCTCCCCTCGCGCCGCGCGCGCGATAATTATTGCAAAATCAAGCCGGCGCGGCGACGATTTTCGCAAGACGTATATTTCCGCCAATTGCTTTTTTTTAAGTCAGAAAGAGAGAGAGAGAGAAAGATACACTCGCGCGGTTTTTCCTCGTGCGTTTGCCATCACGAGGAAAGTACGGGATGCAAGACTCGGCCGCAGGATCACAGAGATAACGAACGGAATGGTGCCAATCGCGGATACTCGGAATTCTCATTTATTTAACTACGACGAGCGAACGGCGTTCGAGGAAACTCGCTCCGCGTTCCCCTCATTACCCCTCGCTTATTTTCGCGTCGAACGGTTTTTCTTTGTATAATAAGAGTGTTTCCAATCACAAATTAGAAATCGATTATCGCAAATAAGCGGGATTATTCCGCGATTATATAGCAAGTGATTGCCAATATGATTGGAAACACGGATATATTATAGATAATATCGATTGATCAATCAATACATTATGCGACAAATATGAAGATAAGTACATACATATATATGTGTCGGAATAAATAAACAAAGAAAATGTCTAAGTAGCATCGGTGTAGAGAGATATAAACAGATAACGAAGCTTTATTCTAATCTTTATTCTAATCGATTTCGAGTGGAGCTTCAATAGAGTATATTAAGTAGAAGCTTAAATAACGTCTTTTAATGGCCTGTCTCTCCTTGAGATATATATATACACATGTGTGCAATTTGTCAAAACTATACAAGCAACAAAAGAGTCTCGCGATCTCACTTTTACCTCGAAAACGCGGTTTCGCGGACTCACGCACGTGGAGTATTCTCTATATTCATGTAAATAACGCGGCTAACGGGAATTAGGTAGAATTTTTACACGTGTGCCCGGTTGCGACGCGTGCATCCTCGAAGATGTAGCTGTTCGAGGGCGCCGACGAGGAAAGTTCGAAGCCGCGTACGAGGAAGGAATGGCGAATCAGCTCGACGAGTGATGGTCGAACTGTCCAGTTGATGCCGATGTTGCTACGTAGACAAAGACCAGGAAGACGGGGGGGGGGGAAATATCTTTCAATCGTGACTCCGCGAATCTTAAGGGAGGTCGCGTTTCGCAACGCGCAACCCTGGACGCGAAATCCTCGAGAAGGGCCGGAAGACCGAGACGTTGACCGGAAAACGTGCCCCGTTTCTTTCTGTCGCGACGCGACCGAGTCATCGCAGGTGTGTTCACCGAGAATACCACCTCGGTGTGATACCTATATGTCATTGCGTATGTCGGGGCACGTGCGTGCGTTATACGTGATCGCACGCGGACGCATCGCGGAATAGAGAACGCGCGGCCGAAGGTTCATTCACCAAATCGGGGAAGGAAGCTACCGCGCGAAGGTTGAACGGACGACTCTCGCCTACGAAAGAGGTCGAATCTTTTCGTCGTCTTCGCATCGCGTATTGTCGAAATCAGAAAAATCACGCTTCTCTCATCGCGATACGCGCAAAATATATTACCTCTAGCAATAGTATTAAAATTAAAAACGATGTAAAAACGATACCTATTTTTTTTTAAATTAAGATCGGAGATATATCTTATAGATTTCTCGCTAAACGGAGTTTTTTTGCAAATTGCCGTTATCGCGACGTTTTGCGTGAGTCATGAGTGACCAATAGAATAATATGAAAGTAAAATTCCGCAAAAACTTCATCGCGCGAGCGATTTATTGGACAAAGAAATCGTAAAAAAAGAAGACGTATATCGGCGATAACGGCGAACTAATCGGACAACTAACGGAGCGACAACTAATCGGATAACAAAGTCATAGTCAAGATAAGAGCGATCTAACGATGAGCCCAGCAAAATATGAATCCTCGCGAAGATGCGTAAATAACTTTTATATGACTATAAATGGATATGGATTAATTCACAATATACCCTAAGATCTTATAATGCGAACTACATTGCCTCCTGATATAATTATACCTAAACAATGAAGGGATTTTTTAATAAAAAAAAATTTTAACATTTTAAGAAATTTGACACGTTTTAACGATATTTTTCATTATCTCTAGACTCTTGCACAACGATCGCTATAATCGCATCTAAAGTTACGAGTCACATAATTTTATCGCGTAATTCCAGAGCTCGCCTCCAGTCGATTAAGTTCTCGGAATCACGAGATTAATTAACGTGGAATTCGCGAAAATTCTGATTGCAGGCGGCCGACTGTCGCAACGATGGATATTCGCTATCATGGGATTTTTGGCGATCCTGAATGCTTACACCATGAGAAATTGCCTCTCAATCACTATTACGGAGATGACGATTCCGATAAAACACAATTATACAGATGATACTTGCAAGTACGAGGAGACAGAGAATACCGATAAGTCCAACAGTACGATGGATAATCGATACGATTGGGATGAACGTACACAGGTAAAAGATACTTTACATAAATTGTACTTTGTAATAATGATATCAAAATGTGTGCTTTTATGTTTTACCCACTCTTATCTTTATCCCCATGTTTCGCTCTTCTTCACTTACTTTTGTGCCTTTATAGCTTCATATCATTTTCTCGTTCCAGGGCCTCATCCTCTCGTCCTTCTACTGGGGCTACGTCATCACGCATCTGCCGGGCGGGATACTGGCCGAGAAGTTCGGCGGCAAGTACACCCTCAGTCTCGGCATCCTCTCGACGGCGGTATTCACCTTGCTGACGCCGGCGGTGGTTCAGTGGGGCGGGAACATGCCTGGAACCTTCCCGGTCGGTTTGGTCGTGCTGCGGTTTCTCATGGGCCTCGGCGAGGGCACGACCTTCCCGGCGTTGAATGCCCTGCTGGCGCAGTGGACGCCGCCGGAGGAGAGATCGATGATCGGCTCGCTGGTGTTCGCCGGCGCCCTGCTTGGTACGGTGCTCGCCAATGTGGTGTCCGGTCTGATCCTGCACGACAGTGAGTGGCCCGCGGTCTTTTACGTGTTCGGCAGCATCGGCGTGCTGTGGTTCATCGTGTTCGTGCTGATCTGCTACAACAATCCGTACGAACACCCGTTCATCTCCGAGCGCGAAGTCAAGTTCCTGCACGATCGTATGAGCGAGCACACGCACAAGAAACCGCCGCCCTTGCCCTGGGGGCACATGCTAAGCTCGGTGCCCCTCTGGGCCCTGGTCACCGCTCAGATCGGCCACGACTGGGGCTTCTTCACCTTGGTCACCGATCTGCCCAAGTACATGAGCAGCGTGCTCAGATACCCCATCAAGAACAACGGCCTCGTCTCAGCGTTGCCCTACCTCATCATGTGGTTCTCCAGCATAGCGACGTCCTGGCTGGCCGACTGGATGATCACAAAGGGTGTCATGTCGCGCACCAACGTGCGGAAACTCGGCACCACGATCGCCTCCATCGGCCCGGGCATCTTCATCATCGCCGCCTCCTACTCCTCGTGCGACCGAACGTTGGTAGTCGCCATGTTCACCATCGGCATGGCTCTGATGGGTATGTATACGCAAATTCACCTCTCGGAGGTACTGCGATCCGCAATATTTGCAGGACGAACGCGAATGTGCGAATCGAAGAGGGTTTCTTCGCCTTTTCAACATATGTCTCTTCCTGTTTTTTTCCAAAGGTACCTTCTACCCCGGGATGAAAGTCAACGGGCTGGATCTCAGCCCCAATTACTCCGGCACTCTGATGGCGATGGTGAACGGGATAGGCGCCTTCAGCGGTATCATCACGCCGTACATCGTCGGCGAGCTGGCACCCGAGCAGACGATGACCCAATGGCGAATCGTCTTCTGGATCGTCCTGGGTGTCTTCATCGTGACGAACATAGTTTTCGTCATATTCGCCAGCGGTGAGGTTCAGTACTGGAACGACCCCAATTTCGTCATACAAGACCGGGAGAAGAGGCAGCAGCGTCAGAAGGAGGAAAAGACAAACAAATCGACGGAGAAAGCATGAAAATGCGTTGCGCTTTTGCTCACGGTGCCCCCCCGGAGAGTGCCTGTGAACAAACGAAAAACAACCTGACTTAATAATCTCGTGATCATCGCGAGACATCGCCCCCCTCCCCCCTCGACAGACGCACGCTCTTCAAGGTCCGCTCGTCGTTTCGCCACGACTTTCAACGAAGATCTCACACATCCGCGTGAAGGAGAGATGCCCCCTGAGAAAAACGCGCGTTTTGACACCGCTCGCGCGTATAATCCTTGGATAATAATTCACGCGTACGGCATCAATTGTAAATCGCGCGCGATGCCGGAATGCTGCATCTTGGAGTTCACGTCAATCCGTATCGCGAACGCGCTCAATACGCTGGCTACGTTTGCGCAAGCGAACCTTTTCGTCGTGAAAGGAGAAACTGTAAATTAAAGCCGATAGACCAACAGCAATTGTACATATTGTGTAGAGATTAAGTAAATGTATAGCATAAATATAATTTAATTGAATAAAACACTAAATGCGCACATGTGTCACCATTTCCATTATTCGGGAAGTGATCGGATTCTCTCCGGGCGCTCTTCAATTCGGTGAATCTTTTAGCAAAAAAAAAAGAGCGACTGGTTATATTGGCGAGTTGTCGAGTCATCATTTAGACGCGGCTATCATCCAACGGCCCAGAATGCAAAATGAGACGCTTCAAGAAGTGCTTAATCAACCTGTCAATTTTCTATCGGTACTTCGTAAATTTCGCTCGATAGATATATATATGTACGATAGATATGCAACGTAAATGTATGCCATTTAAAAATTCACTACGATCATGCGATAATAAAATATTCCGCGTCATCGAGTAAACGACGCTTTCGGCCGACAGCACACCGCGGTGAAAAGCAAGCGTAAAGTTTATGTAAACCTTCTTCGCATGTCACGCCCATGCAATTATTATACGTCCGAATCCCGTTTGTTTCGCGTAATATCGCTATTTTAAGCGTCACTGCCTGAAAACACGCTAATTACGAGAGTGTGCCACGCAAATCTCCGCGATTGCACCCGATCTCCTTCGTAAACGCCCGGAATCGAGCGTGCCTTATCGAAGAATGGAGCGAGAACGTATGCAAATTAACGAACAGAGTATAGTAATTGACGCGTTCACCAACGGCGCTTATCCGCAAAATGCGTATACGCGCATGTCGCGGCCGATTTTGCGGAAATATTTGGCGAGCGACTACTTTCTTGCGCGCTCCGACCTTATCGCGCCTATTTTGCGAGGATAATGAGCAAATGTATCTTGCAAAGATATTGACAGATACGCGACGCCGACGGCTCGCAGCTCATAAATCGCTAATTTAGTTTTTGCCGGCTTATTAATTCATCGATGATCGCGGCATCGCATTCCACGAGTCTGCTCCGGCCGCGAAATCTGATCGGATGTTCAATTATTCGCTCTGCTGTCACTCTTTCATTGCTTTGCATCACGGACATCGACAAACGTTTCAGATGACAGATATTTTAAGCTCTGCGAACTGTTTCGGCGAAAAATACAAATGCAGATACAAGTGCAAATAAGGATGATCTGTAGATAAGCTTATTATGATGCACAGGATGTCGAGGGTCGTCGAAATTCTTTCCTTGAGCGACTGACGTTTCGCGTTCGATGTTTTACGTAATCGAATCGTAAGAGACGATAAAGAGACGACGTAACGACAGTATTAAAAAAGAAGGTCAGGCAGGATTTTTCGTAGTTTCACGTATAAGTGTTTAAAATGTATGATCGAATCGATCAAAAAAATCGATTAATTATTCGATCGTAAAACTGCGGGAAACACGACGAGTTGTCCGATTATTTATCGACCGATTAGAAATCGAATAATGATAGAGCGCATAGAATATTTTATATTTTTTTCGGACTTAACTTCTTATACATTTCTCGCCTTTATCTTGAGTGCGAGATACAGATCTAAAAATTGCACGCGTCGATAAGAGCCGATTAAACATAATTCTAGGCAAGTGTACATTTCGCTTATCTCGTTTTATAAAATGAAATATAATATGATCGAATATTTTAATAAATCATGTAAATAATGTATATACCTAATATATATTTAATTATATTAATACGATTAATTATATACTTAAAGATGTAACTGTATAATTTATATTTAATTATACTATATAATTATATATACTATAATTATATAATTATATATACTATATAATTATACTATATAATTAAATATATATATGTATATATATGTATATATATGTATATATATGTATATAAATATGTGTATAAAAAGTTCTCTCACATTACGCAATTTAAAGAGCTTATTTCTCGCTCGCTTGAATCTGATTCAATCCCGTGGCATTTGCAAGTCAAATTGCGGACTCGTGGAGCAGGCGTGCATTATTGCGTGCATTATACAATGTTAATGACAACAGTAACCCACCCGCAATTATACGTGCTATCCGATTTTTAACGAGACAGGCGACGTTTATTTTTTTTTTCAAAGTAAACGTTAATTAGCCGACAGGCACATCCGCGGTGCGGGTGTCTTTTCCGCGAGAGAGGCGCGCACCTCACGCGTCGCTTCCCCGCATGCGGTCGAGCGCACGACCGTGTACGGATGATTGAATGCATGTAATTAACGTTTCTTCGCGGGGACACCGGAATTTTTCATATCGAAGATATTTCGCGAGGATGCAATTTTTCGCGAGGATTGCGTGTAAATCGTGGGTTTGGCAAAAAGGCGTCGTTGCGTAACCGCGTGTCGGGAGACCTGCTTGGCTTTAGAATTGCATTTTATACACACCGCGCTCTCCTTTCCCTCCTCCTCACCTCGAAATTGAAATGCGTACGTTCTATAGATAAATATATAAACGCCAACACGCTGACGTATAAACGGTTAAAAAAAAAAGCGAACAGAGTCCGCAGGACCGTCGGTGGGGATGGCCGCAATCCTATACTTCCACATTAGGATATTTCGATTTTTTCCTCGAGCGCGTGGAAGAAGACCGCGTCGCGCCGTATCGTGGAGGCTGTGTTCGAGCGCATCTTCCGATAATACGTGTTTCTGTAATAAAACGGAAAAAATGTCAACGACGATTTTTTTATCTCGTTTGCTTTTAGCCGCTTTTATTAGGAGATAGGGAAGATAGTGCGCACACACTTCGCGCACACATTCTATATACATGCGAAATGACACGGCATTCTATAAATATATGCGTCCCACGATATACATGGAATGGAATGGAATTTTGCCGTGGTATATATCTGAGTTACCGCACGTACATATCATTATATCATGCGGCAATAGACATGTAGCAAAAAAAGGTGTACGCATTGCAAATCTCGCGCTATATGCCCGAGGTGGAGGAGGTACAAGGATCAGACGCCTCTCGGTCATTTTCGATTTATATATTCATGTCATGCAGGAATTCTCGGCGATGCCTCTAATAACCGCCTGCCGATAATCGTCTATCGCCAATTGGATTGGCAATTTTTCCATCAACGTAATAAGTCGTAATTCATTAACTCGAGCATCTGGCATTGTCGCTGTGTTTATATACATCGAAACACCTTATCAAGTCTCGCTGCAACTAGCATATTAAAAATAACGTTAAAAAAATAATGGAGACATAATTAATTGTGTCATATTCATCAATTATCCTATCTCTATTTTCTATTATTATATTTTATATATAGATATATTTATTAATAGAACTAGAGTGTGTCTAATTATATAAATTATTACACATAATTTAATGTATGTATAAATATTAATATATACTGTATTTATATTATTAAATTATAAATATAATTTATATAATTTAATATATAAACACAATTACACATGTGTGAACACACATTATATGGCCTGCTCTTTTTAGCTGAACTGGCTGCATTTCAGAGTTTATCTTTCTTCTTCCAATGTAAAAAGAGAAAAATAAATTGTTAACTAGTGCAGCCAGTTCAATTGAAAAGGACAGGCCTATATAGACACTCAGATGTTCTGCATGATTGTCTTATTATTAATAAGAAATGTATATGTACATATATATACACGCGCATCTCTGATCGATATACGTTTAAAATAATTACGTATATACGCTTAATTATTACATTAATTAAAAATTCAAACCAGATGTTGTAATGCGCGAAGAAATTATTGCGAAACGATAACGATGTTTGTGCCGCAAATATTACAAATGACGTAGATGTTGCGTATAAATCTGTTGAGACCATCTGTCGGAATTAATAATGAGATGTACGAGAAAAATCCTGCCGTCTATAAATCTCTAATTCTGAATTGCGGTTCGCAATTCTAGTATTAATACGTTATATATTAATTGCGTTGCATGAAGGAGTACGTATAAAAGCCGCAACGCGCGTCTTGAAAAGAATAATAGTTGAAATGTATCAGAATATCCCGAACCTTTTGGCGATCCCAAGCCTTGAGAAAATTTGCGTACGTTCAACGCTAACAATTCTGCCAGATCGGAAGAGCTTTCTCGGGAGAGACTTTTCGGTTCGTGACGGTCGTGCGAAAATCGAGGACGAACGAATCTCCTACGTTTCCTTTGTCCGAACCAGAGAGAAGCCCGATCAGAGTGCCAGTGGACGTGCCCGTGCCAGCGCGTGCCTGCGTTTCAAATGGAACCCGTTTACTGGCGCCTCTACGTGCACGAAGCGTGAACCACGTAGCCATGAATATCTTCAGCGGGTAACATACCCGCAGTGTTTCCCTGTTTTACCGTAACGTGTAGGTAACCCTAACGTATATAAACATTAACCTCTCAGTCTCGTTTAGCTGGCAACTTGTCATGTCTGAATTCGCGTCGTGCGCGATGCCAGGCGCCTCGTCGAGGACACCGGCGATTCCCGTGTCGCCGCGCTTCATCGTCTTCCGCATGACACTCACCTCCGTGGTCGGTCCCCGATGATCATGCACGCGGGATACGACGAGGATCTGTCGGAGAATCGCTTCCTGCGGGAGCTCCGGGACGAGCATGAGGCCACGTTCAAGCGGGCCGTCCGGGACGGCTGGATCGTCTGCGTTCCACGTAGCGGCAGCTTCGTCAGCCGCAGCCTGGAGGAGGACGAGGTCAACGCTCACATCCTGGTCCCCGAGCGGGACCCCTCCGTCGCCCGCTTCGGCAGCCTGAGCGGCAGGAAGATCCTGCTCGAGGACCGAGTCCTGCACGTCGAGCACGATGACGCGGAGCGGTACTCCTCGCGTCTGCTGTTCGAGGAGATCTTCTACAGCGATGATTTTCACAAATATTGCGTATGGTAAGCTGACACCCGAATTGTTCCGGACAGTTTCCGGAACGTTGGCTGTTACTGTTGACGTTGTTTCGTAGGTGCATCGAACGACCTCTGGAGGCCAGCATGCACGTCTCGGACAACTGCGTGAGCGTGATCACGAATCTCCAGGAGGCCGTGAACTTTCTTCAGGTGGAACTGCTCGACGGGCAGCTGCGCGACGACCTCGAGACCAAGATCAAGGACTTTCTGTACGTTAATAAGAATCTGGAGCGCAAATCCAAACAGGCGCAAAGGGATCTGGTGCACGAGCTGTACGCGGATTGCCTCGAGATGTTATTGGAGCACGCGGCGTTGAAGGAGAAGGCTCCGGGCAACAGGCAGTATCAGTGGAACATCAGAATGTCCCTGGAGACATACATTCTGTATGCTCTGAGAGACGTACTGCTAAAGTCACTGTCCGCCCGTACCACTGCAGAGGACGCGAATCTGAACAAGGTCATCAGGAACTTGGACGGGATCCAGTTGAGCGATCTCCGAGTACGGCCGGACTTGCAGTCTCGTATCGATGGAGGGAAGACAGAATTTTCACGACTGGACTGCTTCGTGACTGTGCTGGGCAAGATCGAGTGTCTCAGAAGGACCGTGAATTACGTATCGCGCGGAACGTTGTCGTCCGTCACGTCGGACGATCTGCTGCCCGTGCTCGTGTACCTCGTCGTCAACGCCAGCCTGTCGAACTGGACGGCGCAGTTATACTTCATGAGACAATTTCGTCTCTCGATAAGCTCCGCGTACGAGACGGACGAGGCTGGATTCTTGATAACTTCGCTGGAAGCCGCGATCGCGCACATCAAGTCCGGCGTGATCTACGCCGAGGACAAATACGGTCAATTAATGAGGCAATCGGAACACTCGTCCGTCGGTTATTTGTTCGCGTGCGTCAAGAACGGCAATTTATCCGAAGTGAAGAGAATCCTGATCTACAACGGATCCGACCAGGACGACGACGTCGCGCTTTGCCATCCCTTATGCACATGCGCGTCCTGCGAGCGAAACTGGACGAAACAGCGGGACCTGAACGCGTGTCCCAAGGACGACAAGGGTATGACGCCGCTGCACGTCGCCGTGCTGCACGATCAGATAGTGATCGTGGACTTTCTTCTCAATCGCGACATCGATATAAACGCCGTCGACTCGGACGGCCTCACGGCTCTTCACCACGCCTGCGTCAAGGGCCACCAGAACGTCCTGCTGCTGCTGCTGCACGCGAACGCGGATCCCGCGGCGACGGACTCGCGGGGGAACACGCCGTTACACCTGGCGGTGGACCGCGGTCACGAGAGCTGCGTGAAGGCGTTGCTGTATCTAACGGAGCACATGAGGATGCCGGTCAACGCGAGCGTGGCGAACGACAACGGCGACACGCCGTTGCACATCGCAGCCAGGTGGGCGTACTACGCGATCGTCAGTATCCTCCTGGAGTACGGCGCGAACAGCAGAATGGTCAACAAGAAGGGTCAAACGCCGCCGATGGTGACGTACAGCGAGAGCATCGCCGAGTTGCTCAGATGTAACGCGGCGTCGGGCAACATCTGTAACGACGCGACCTTGTCCCAGCGGCGTACTCTCGGCGTGCAGCCTTGCCAGTCGGTGCCCTTTCAGCAGCAGCAACGTCATCGGACCGCGTTGGAAAACAAAAGCTCGTCGCATCCTAAGAGCTACGCCAACGCGATGCAGCATCGTATGATGGACAAACTGCTCGCCGCTATAGTCGACGGCGATATCTGTCTGGCGTGTTACTACCTGGGACTGGAGATCTATCGCGAGCGGCGGCCGCTGGGCGTTCACGCGGGTCTGTGCCATCATCCGCTCTGCGACTGCGAACGGTGCTCGGCGATCGGCGGTAAGGGTAAGCTGGAGCACAAGCAGCGGCAACGGGCGCTCGCGATCAACGCCTGTAACGGCCTGGGCGAGACGGCGTTGCACGTGGCGAGCGCGACCGGTCGCACCAAGATGGTGCAGCTGCTGCTGGACGCCGGCGCGAACGTGAACGTGTTGACCAAGTCGGAGGCTCGCACCCCGTTGCACCTGGCGTGCCTCAAGGACCGCGTCGACGCGGCGAAGCTGCTGCTCGACTGCGCGACCTGCGACGTAGACGCCAAGGACGGCAACGGCGACACGCCGTTGCACCTCGCGACCGTGGCCGGCAACGTCAAGTCCGTCGGCCTGCTGATCAGATGCGGCGCGTGCACCGGCGTGCGCAATCTGCGGAACGAGACCCCGCTGCGGCAGGCGGAGGAGATGCTGTCCGCCGCCTTCTCCGCGAATCGTGCCGCTATACTGAAGATCCTGAAGCAAAATTCGGCGCAGCAAGTCGACGATTGATTCGAAGCCATTCAGCTTTCGCGTGTCTTAAGCTACTCCGTTTTTTCTATGTCTTTTTCTACGTCTTTTCTACTTACCTCATAGATTAGTCATGCGACAGTTTTGCTAGAAGTAGGCTCTTTAACAATACTCGCATAATTTCTCCATTTGATATTCCGTTACAGATATGAACGAAGAAATGTCTATTCGTGTGCTTACTCTCCAATATACTGAAGGCTATACCGCAGCAGATTTCTATAAGTATGGGCGATGATTAATTTTTTATTTTATAAGCGATTCTATTTCTATTATTTATTATATACCTCATGGATGTGATTAGCAGTATCTTCTAGCATAATTCTAAAAATAACTTCGCTCGCATAACGACTTAACTCTGATCTAACAATAAGTATTACGTCTAACGTGCGTGCTAATTGCGATTCTAAAATTAAATCTCATGCGTGCCTTGATTTCATTTTTCCCAAGCTGAGTGAGATTTCCTTTTTAGAATCGTTTGCATAAATTGCACAAATTATTACATCGAGCGACATTAGTGAGATTAATAATGTTATAAGTGAGACAAACAGTGCAATATAAGTCAGATCACAAATAGATTTGTATTATATATTTTATATATAATATATAACTAGGAGCTATAAAAACAAAAGCTTATATATTTGAAACGATAATAAGACTATAAATTGTTTTGTATGAGACAAAATATAAATATATACGCATAAATTATATGTATTTGTACGATTTATGTTTTATTTATACAATTTCGATACACTTTTGAGAAGGAAAGTAAGTAAAATGTACAAAATGCGTAAAGAAATATATTTAAGAATATTAGATTTTTAAATATGTATGTGCGTCGTGTATTTACTGGATTACCAACCTTCAGGTATTAGTTCTATAAATTCTACAATACTAGTTCCCTATTATAGTGAACATTGAGCAACGGGAAATAATTGCATTGCGTGTATTATCTCGTCAGCATTAATAATTCTCTCTAAGTTGTGATCGTTTGTTTTCAAAAAATTGCGATAATAAAAAAAAGGGAGAAATTTTCAGCAGTAATGCAAGTAACATAAGTTCATTCCTTAGTACATATGTTCTGTGATTCATTCGACTTAACCTCTAAGCACATGCATCAACATCGTCAGCTGTGAGCTGTCGAGCGGGGCTCCGAGTACGACTTGATTTCTTACTGCGAATTTTGCAAATGCAAAGGATATCTGACGGACGAATTTTGCAATAGATTGACAAGGACATATCCCGAATCGAATTGTCATTTTAGTAAATTATACGAATCGATAGGTAAGTTTAAAGTTTGTTTACAGGCCTCGATTTGTCGGTTATTTCATCGCTATTCCGGGACAACACCGGTTCGCTTATTATTACCGCGAATGTTGCATCATTTTGATCGAAAGTCGCCCCAAAGACTGTCTTATCGCCACTTCACGAACTGACATTCCTAATCAATTTTCGCCATTCTGAAATTTGTCATTAACATTTTTTTTCGTGTAATATAGATTTCCCTTCTTCTCGGATCGATATATTGTATGATGCTTTAAAATGGAATGTCTGTCAGTGATAGAATTGTAGTCGAGTTTCACATATTTTAAATTTGTTTGTGATTATTCAAGAGAGATCGGTAAGTATCGTTATTTTTAAGTTACCGCCTAAAATGACATTCATTAGAACGTAATAATTTTCATGTTGTCTTTAGCACGAAATCCTATAATCCTAAATTGTACAACTGATCAGCTGTTTCATATTACTTTCAGATACAACCTCATTTCCGTGCTGTGTTTTCCAAAATCACAATTATTCCGAGATGTTGAGACTATTGAAGTTGTCGAGGAATTCACTTCTGAGAGGCGCAGCTTTACAGCAGCGTACAGTCGCGTATCGTACCTTCCGATCGTCGACGAACGCCACGTCGAGTGCGTTGCACTCGAGACAGAAGCTGACGCAGGATGAACTGGCTAAATTCAAGACGGGCGAAGTTCTTCACGGATTCATGGTGGACGAGATCGCGAACATAGACGAGCTGTTCCTCACCGCGGTGAGGCTGACGCATTTGAGCACGGGCGCGCAGTATCTGCACTTGGCCAGGGACGACACCAACAACGTGTTCTCCATCGGGTTTCGCACGACCCCCAAGGACTCCACGGGGTTGCCGCACATACTGGAGCACACCACTCTGTGCGGCAGCGAGCGGTATCCCTGCAGAGATCCGTTCTTCAAGATGCTGAGAAGATCCCTGGCCACGTTCATGAACGCCATGACCGGGCCGGACTACACCATATATCCGTTCTCAACGCAGAACTTGAAGGACTACCGTAATCTCCAGTCGGTCTACTTGGACTCGGTCTTCAAGCCGAATCTGCGAGAGCTCGACTTCCGACAGGAGGGATGGAGGCTGGAGCACGCAGACGTCGACGACAAGAGCTCGCCCATCGTATTCAAGGGGGTGGTGTTCAACGAGATGAAGGGTGTCTTCAACGACAATCAGGCCATCATGGCGGAACGCCTGTTGAATTCCATTCTACCGAGCCACACGTATTCCGTAATCTCCGGCGGCGATCCCCTTGTCATACCTAATCTGCAGTACGTCGATCTCCTCAACTTCCACATGAAGTACTATCATCCCTCGAATTCGCGCTTCTATTCCTATGGAAATTTCCCGCTGGAGGATCATCTGAAGTTCATCAACGATCGGTACCTCTTCTTATCCGACAGGATAGACGCCTCCATGTCGGAAGTGCCGGCCGAAAAACGATGGAGCGAGGCGAGAAAGGAGCACGTCGCGTGCAAGCCCGACCCGCTGCTCGCGGATTCCAGCAGGCACGGCACCATCGCCATCGCGCACTTGTGCAACGACATAACCGACATACAGACGACTTACGAGATGTACGTGCTGTCGCAGCTGTTGCTGAAAGGCCCGAATTCGGCGTTTTACAAATCTCTAGTCGAATCTAACATAAGTACCGGCTTCGGGCCGTTCACGGGTTTCGACTCGCAGTGCAGAGACACGATGTTCGTCGTGAGTCTGCAGGGTGTGAAGCCGGAGGATTTCGAGAAGGTCGAGAGAATCTTCAACGAGACCGTGCAGAAGGTTATCGAGGAAGGATTCGAGAGGGATCACGTCGAAGCTGTCCTGCACGGCATCGAGCTCCAGGTGAAGCATCAAACGTCGAACTTCGGGTTGAATTTGCTCTTCAATCTGACGTCATTGTGGAATCACAACGGCAACCTGATACAATCGTTGCGAATCAACGACGCGATGAAGAAACTCGCGTCGCGAATGAAGGAAGATCCCAAGTACCTGCAAAGTCTGGTCGAGACTTATCTCAGGGACAACAGTCATAGATTGACGTTAACGATGTCGCCCGACGAGAAGTACGAGAGGAACAAAGCGCTCGCCGAGCAAGAGCTGCTGACGGCGAAGTTGGGGGAACTTTCCGCGGAGGAGAAGGAACTGGTGTACCAAAACGGGAAGCTCTTGCTCGCCGAGCAGCAGAAGAAGGAGGACGTCGGAATCTTACCGACGTTGAAGATAGAAGACTTGAAGGCCGACGTGGAGAGGTACAAGACCTCCGACACGGAGGTGTCCGGAGTGCCTCTTCAGCTGTCCGTGCAACCGACGAACGGCATTTCCTATTACCGTGGAATACTCAACACGCAGGCGCTGTCGACCGAGCTGAAGCAGCTGATACCGCTGTTCAACTACGTAGTCGCGAAGATGGGCACGCAGAATTACGACTACAGGAGTTTCGATCAGATGATGCAGCTGAAGACTGGCGGCCTGCACTTCATGAATCACATCGCCGAGCACAAGGAGAGCGAGTTGAAATACGAGGAGGGTATTCTCGTAGACTCGTACTGCCTGGATCGCAATTCGAACGACATGTGGAAGCTGTGGACGGAGCTGTTCAACAACGTTAAGCTTACCGACCTTCAGAGATTCGAGACGCTCGTGAAGATGAACGCGGCCGACTTGATCAACGGTATCTCGCACGCCGGTCACATGTACGCGATGAGCAGCGCCGCTAGCCTGGTCTCGCCGATAGCCCGGGTCAAGGAGAGCCTCTCGGGTTTGCAGTACATCGCGAGGATGAAGAAAGTCGCGCAGATACGCGACTTGACTCCCCTGATGCAGAACATGCAGGAGATAGCCGATCACGTCCTGAACAAGAAACACCTGCGGTCGGCCATTAACTTGTCCGAGGAACACCAGGATGACGTACTCAGCGGTATTCACGCGTTCTACGATTCGCTGAAGGGTCGCGCGGAGAATTCACACGTCATCACCAGCGACCGGAGCATCGACACGAAGGAAACCGGCAACCACTACGTGCTGCCGTACGCGGTGAACTATTGCTCCAAGGCCATTCTGACCGTTCCTTATACGAATCCGGATTACGCGGCGTTACGCGTTCTGTCCAAGTTGATCACCTCGGTGTATCTGCATCCGTTGATTCGAGAGAAAGGCGGAGCTTACGGCGGAGGCGCGAAACTGACGTCGGAGGGAGTCTTCTCGTTTTACTCCTACAGAGACCCGAATTCCACTCGCACCTACGATCTGTTCGACAAGACGTATGATTTTCTAACCGAATACCCGTTGCCGCAAAGCGACATAGACGAGGCGAAGCTGGGAATCTTCCAACAAATCGACGCTCCCATTCCTCCCAGTAATCGGGGCCTGACGAGATTCATACACGGCATCACGGACGACGATCTTCAAAAGCAAAGGGAGCAGCTGAAAGCCGTGACTAAGGAACAGCTGTTACACGTGGCAGAAAAGTATCTAAAACCCGATCAAAGTGATGTCAGCGTCGGCCGTTCGCTTATTGGACCTACAAATGCAGATATTTCAAACAGGCACAAAGAAAATTGGCTGGTGCTAAATCAGGAAGAACAGACCGAGCACGAGCCACTGACTAGATATAAATAGACGTCAGAATATTATTTTTATTGTTTCCTTAATGAAAAGAGTTTTGTTTCATGTTAAACTCTGCAAATGTGTCGATACTGTTGTTAAACGTTTCAAGGACATATAAGTATTAAAAAATTGAGAAAATAGCGTACGCGTTACTTAATACATAATGTTAAATATTGTAATTTATGCTATTTTTATATATTAAATATATCCCAGTTAAGGGATAAAAAAAATAAATATTTTTCTTAATTTATTTCTCATTTCTCTTCATTCTCACATACACATGTATCAAATCATATATCTATTGCAACTGTAAAAATGTAATAATTTTTCTTTTTTAGTCAAATAACATGGATATCAATGCCGAAAAGAAATATTTTTCCGAAGCACTATGCTTCTTTTACGAGACGCAGTGGCTTCATAATATACCAGTAACCGAAATATTAACTAAAGCGTCTTTAGATACAATGCCGAAAGAATGGATGGAACAATTGCAACTTTTGGAAAATGAGGAACTTAATAATTTCGTAGTAGAAAAAGCAATCAAGGTTAGCCAAGAAATCTCAGAAATGTTACATACATATAATGGATTAAAATTCTTAAGTGAATTAATTATTGTTCTAGTCCGACTGGCCTGATTCCTTAAAAACATATGTTGCAAAATGTAAGAAACTCAATAGACTGCCACCCGTGCCCGCGTTATCTCCCATAGAATTGCCGCAAAATTTTAAGATAGGTCTCAGCCAAAAGAAACAACATGAAATAATGCACTTGGCTCATTTAGTAGACGCACAATGCAAGCGGCATGATATACGAACGATCATTGATTTGGGCGCGGGTTTGGTAAGAGAATAGCATTAAAAAAAAAGATACAAACATAATCAGACTCTCATGCTACAATATTTTTTCTTCCAGGGATACGTATGCCAAATGTTACATTATTTGTACGATTATCGAGTCCTCGGATTGGAAAGAGATAAAAAGAATGTTGGCAGAGCTTTTACTAGACAGAAAAAATTGCATCCCGATTCTTTGGCTAAAGTTAAGTACATGCATTGCGACGTCACGTGCGATTCGGCCGACGCAATAGAGACTATTCTGCGGCAAGAGTTCCCCGACGTCACAGACGTATGCCTGATCGGCCTGCACGCCTGCGGAGATCTAAGTACAAGCGCGTCAAGAATCTTTCGCGAAATGAAATCTGCTAAACTTTTCATTCTGATTTCCTGCTGTTACCACAAACTTTCGATCTCTAAAAGCGTGCAAACTCCATTGCGGGAAAAACAATACTTTCACAATTTTCCTACGTCCAACTGTCTGCGAGAAACAATCGCGGCGTATAATTTTGACGTAGGACAATTCTTGAGAGTACCCTTTTTGCGCTTGGCGTGTCAAGAATCGGCGGACAAGTGGCACGGAATGTCGCAGGAGAAGCACAACGAACATTCCTTTCACGTTCTCGCTAGGGCCGTGCTCGAATTGTACTCACAACAAAGTAGGTATTTAAGATTATACAACGTATGTGCATTCTGTATATTAATTAATGAGGATATATATTCTAGATAATTACGTGCTCAATAAGAAAGTTCGGAAAGGCACGAGGAAGTCGCAATGCTCGAATTTTCAAACTTACGTTAAAGACTCGTTACTAAGATACGATTTAGTGCCAGATACGAACAAAACAGGTAAACTGATAAATTGATGCTTAATTTACAAGATTAACAATCACATAACTAACACGAAACCGTACAGACAGTGTAATCACACGTGACGAAATGGAGAAGGGCATAACGCGAGTGTGGGAGGAACAGAGTGGAAGATTGGAAGCCGTAGAAATCTACACTGGTTTGCAAATGATGTTACAACTTCCGGCGGAATCGCTGATTCTACAGGACCGCTTATGCTGGTTGCACGAACAAGGCTTGGAGGCTGTCACTGTGCCCGTGATGAACAAGTGCGTTTCTCCTCGCTCGTACGCGATCGTGTCTCACAAATACTAAAAATTACATAGTTTAATAAATATAAAAGTGTGTAATTTATATCGAGTTTTTAAAGACTGTGGAATTTTTAATTAATAACATACAAACTGAGAATATATTCAAAATATTTTTAATAGAAGACGTTATCACGATAATTGTGATTTTTTCATTATGCCTTATGGCTTATATTAAAATCATAGATTAAATCTATAACCGGATAGAATTCAAATTATTAACAATAATGAAGTAACGTCAAATTTAAATGTATTCAAATTATTAATAATGAAAAATAGAAAATTAAAACGTACCAGTGTTTGAATAATCAGTCATTGTATGATACATCTTAAATGAAAAAGATGCTACAATATTCTTATCTATAAGGATGGATTTGGGACGCCGCTTTGATGTTCGTTTTTATTGCGCTTGGCGCCTTGTTCATTTGTCCCACTGTAAAATATAAATTTAAATTATTACAATTATATATAATTGCGGGAAAAAAATGTGAGAAATCCTCAGAGAAATACTCACTTGGTGGATTACCAAGTGGCCCTTGCCCCGTCGTTTGCTGCTGATTACCGGGTCTGCCCACCATCATGCTGTTGGGTACCGGATTCACGCCGGATTGAACCATTTGAATCGAATCAGACTGTGAACGTGAAATATAAAAATATTACATCTAATATACGTATATTAAAATAGTAATAATGCTTGCATAATGGTTCTAAAAACTTAATTAAATTTTTTTTCTCCAAGTACAAACTTACTTTCAAACCTTTACCCATCCCCACAGCGGCCAGAAGGGCATGAGTATCGGCAGCGCTGCTGGTCTGCGCTTGTGTCGCTCTTGTGCTAACTTCGCCCTCCCAATCCTCGCGCGCCTTATTCGCTATGTCCCACACGTGGCTAATTACCTTCGTATATTGCGCCAGTTGTTTCTGAAACCCAACAGAGGCACACGGGGGGCTTAATTCAGACTTAAGCGGCGGAATTCACGTGTTCCACTCGCTAAATGGACCGTTCCACAAAATCTCTGCGTAGCGAACGTTTAATCTGAGACATCAAACATCTAATGGCTATTTTACGCTAGCTACAAATAGGCTTGCATACATAACATCTCAGCCCAAAGCGAATGGAACTGACAAAGCTGAAGCTATCTGATATAGCAGCTTACATTGTAGTCCTAGTTGTCGTTTAGTTAGCACGGTTAACAGAAAAATAAAACATCTTCAGTTAGCTTCAATGTATCTATCTTAACTAGATATTATATGTATATATATATATTTAATTGTGATACACACTCTTAAAAAGATTCTGGTTTCGTTGCAGTTACACATCTGATATTTGAATATTTCTGATGATGAATTTTGCTTTTGACTCAAAAATTTAATGACAAATCAAACAAGAAGTATTGCAGAGTATACAGAATTGTCTTACGTGTGATGTGTCAATGTTAACGTTCGCGGCCTTGGCTTCCAACTGCATCATCTTCTGCTCGGCCTGGGGCTCAAGCTTCGTCCTCAGGTAATCCGGCACCAAATCGTGCGCGAATGTTGGGATTCGATTCTCGGTCAGTCGCAGCAGCTCCTCGTCCTTCTCCGGACTCAAGCGCAACGGTAGAACCGTCAGACCCCTGAGATTGAGCGCTTTGTCGTGCCCGAGGATCTTCGAGAGGCTGGTCAGCTGTACAAATGGCATATTATTAAGCATAACTTGAGGATACGAATGAAACCTGATGGGTGCCGCTTTCCATGATTTTTAAACACTAGAACTAAAAAACCGAAGCAGTCACTTGTGTAATTTTTTCAAATTTATAACAATACGTTTTTTGAAACTTTCACCTTTGCTGCAATATTAAAATTTTTAAATGATTAAACTGATCGATTTACCTTCCCTCTTCATCTTTTTTTTTTAAGTATATATTTACAAAAAAGTTAGATGTATTAATCGTCGATAGTTCTAGTGTTAATAATCGATCGGGGATACTTACGTGGCCCGAAATAAGAGCGAAATTGTCAAGAAAATTCGGCCAATTCAAGGTTTCGTATTCGTGCTCCACCTTGAATATCATCGCGGCGATCGCGGTCTTCAGATCGTTCACTCGCATTATTAAGGCCTCCAAGGCCGAATCCTGTTGCTTCTCCTCCCTTTGCATCGCGTAATTTTTACTATACAACGGACACGAATTTCACTCTTCAGTCCATTCATTCGTCGCCGTGAAGATATGTCTCTCCGGGCACTGTCGCCACTCGGCAGTCGGCAGCAGACATGACGGCCTTTTGCATTAACTTCAAAATGTCCTCGTACACCTAACGCCACCTGAAGAAGTGGATGTGAACTACGTAGCAACGTTCACTTTTCTGCACCGTGGGTATACAATTTTGAATTTGTGGTGCGTGTCCACGCTACATCCATCTTTCGATCAGATTGCTGGGGCGCCTTTATTTATTCTCGAAAAATTGCGCATTCGGAAATTATATCCTCTCTCAGATTACGGATATTTCCGGCGAGTAACACGGTCTTCGACTTTGTCCCGCGTAATGTATATTGTTTGATTAATTCTATTCCGTGCTATGTGCATGCCATGTATAAGCCAAACGTAATGATAAAGTTATCTTAGATATTTCTTGATAGAAGCCTAAAGTATAAATCTTAAAATGCAATTTTATACTGGCACTTCTTTTTAATTTATTATATTATATATTATATTATTTAAACATAAAATTCTCTTATACGAACAATATATTTTCAATTTAAGAATTCAAAATTTAATAAAAACGCGAGCTCGAAGTGAAACACGAAAAACGTACGTGTTATATTATATATATGTATGCATGTACGATTCTCGACTATAGAGCTTGGTCACGGCGGATCAGCTGTTAGCCTGTGTTAGCCAGCTGACCGCCGCCGCGAGCACGTGATCGCTCGGGGGATTACTTGCGAGAATTATTAATCGTTATATTAATTGCAAATCATTTTCACAAGGGAGACATTGATGCACAACGTAATGAAGTCCTTCCGCGAGGCTCTCGCGAGCGCCAGCAACATCCTGATCCTGACCGGCAGCGGGATCTCCGCGGAGTCCGGCGTGCCGACCTTCCGCGGCCCCGGCGGTTTTTGGCGTAAATACCAGGCGCAGAGCCTCGCGACCCCGGAGGCCTTCGCGGCGAATCCCTCGCTGGTCTGGGAGTTCTACGAGTACCGCAGGCAGCTGGCGAGCAAGGTCAAGCCGAACAAGGTAATTCGAAGAATGCAGTAAGATGCCGGAAAAACGAATATCGTCAATCACACAGAGCTTTATTTAATGAACTTTATAAGTCGTGGGAGCGAAATGCAATCTCGTTACTCTTGTCCTCTCATCCTCCTTCAGGCGCACGAAGCCGTGGCGGACTTTCAGAAGCGTAAAACAGCGGAGGGTAAAAGGGTGTCGATCGTCACGCAAAACATAGACAGGCTGCATCAGAGAGCCGGGGCGACGGACGTGCTGGAGCTGCACGGCTCGCTTTACAGAACGCGCTGCACCAAGTGCCGCAACGTCGCCGTTAACGAGAACATTCCGATCTGCCCGGCGCTGGCAGGAAAAGGGTATGGCATGAATCCTGTGACGTAGTCGCAGATATAGCGAATTATGCTACGCAGGGTTATCTTCAATTAGTTGAGCTGACGACAATGTGTCTAAGCAGATCTCCCGACCCGAACATCATGTCCTCTGATATTCCAGTAGAGGAATTGCCACGTTGCGAGATCAGAGATTGTGGAGCGTTGCTGCGGCCTGATATCGTATGGTTCGGGGAACAATTGGACGCAAACGTGCTACAAAAGGCTTGTGCGTAATTTTATTTCATAAACATAACTGTGGCATTGACATTACATACATTCTGTGTATAAAAATATGGAAACACGATTCGGAGAGAAATCAAACGGAAAATCTTTGATTAAACACGTTTTAGTACTGTATGTGAAAAGTATATAAAATATAAGAAACTTAAAATATATATTTATCTTAGTCGTTAATTCTTTTTTAAACTGCAGTTGACATTGTGGAGACATGCGACGCTTGCCTGGTCATTGGAACCTCGGCGATCGTATATCCAGCCGCTATGTTCGCGCCGCAAGTAGCGCAACGTAATGTACCGGTCGCCGAGTTCAATATAGAGGAAACGCCAGCCACAAGACAAGTGCAGTAAGTACAGGCTCCTTTTGTCAATAAAAATCTTGTGGTTAGCATGCAAAAGTACTCGTTAAAATGGCTCGAATTTTCATTACTTTAAGATAAAAAATCTACAGATATATAAATACAGATATCTCAATATCGTCAATATAAAATATAACGCTCTTATGTTTTTTACACATACATGTAGTGTAATATATAGCTCTGTAATCTTTTGTGGAAAACCTTTACATCACAATTTCCTCATGCTTCCGCTTACGTCCTTTAGACTGACTCGCGTTTGACTGTAACAAAAGAAGAATACGTTACATTGCATATTGAATGTTGATTAAATGAAATAAACCAAAAGGATAATTTTTACAGGATAATATTTTTAAAAAGCGAATTCTTTTACAGATATCATTTCCAAGGTCCCTCTTCTATCACTGTGACAGAAGCATTGGCGCCTTAAGAAGGTTGAATGTGCAATAAGTAAAATAATTAAGCTCCTTGTTAGCATAAAAAAAATTACCTCACAATAACACACTTCTGTATTCAGTCCAAGCCCATTTAAGTAGTCCAACCATAATTTTTGTTTGGTTGACAGTGAATCACCCGGACCCTTCACTTCTACGATTTTGTACTGTAAAAAAAGATATTACAATTTAACAAAATTAAGTTCGTAGAATATAAGGCACTCTCTTAAGATCTGTTTATATATATAAGCTTCTTAAAATTGTACATAGAAAAAAAAGAGATTGACTTACCTGTTTTGTATTTGCATTCCACACAATTAAATCTGGAAAGCCAGCTTTCCAGAGTGTAAAATTATGAATGAGTCGTTCGCATATACCAACAACACCCTCCACTCCTATGCAAAACGTTACTTCCTGAAGACAAATGTATGATATATTTATAACTTGTGTTTTATTATAAAGTTTTATTATAAATTAGTTAACGGTTACGCTTACCTGGAGGCTGCTACTGTCGTTAAAAATATTGCCCTGAGTAATAGACATGTATTCGCAATGTAACTCGAATTCACGCTGCAAGAGTCTACTCAATGTTTCCGCATCGAACTTTCGAATAATTTGAAGCCTCATGTCAATCTGCTCTTTCCTATTCTCGTAAAATTCCGACGAGAACAAATCCAACGGCGCATTCTGATACAACGACACCCAAACGCCGGGCACGTTCATGTCATAAATCTCGTTCCAAAATAACGTAGCGAACAGGGTGATTGGAAAGGCACCCTCGCAATGTACACCCTTGATATATCCGTCCTGTTTGTAGTGATATAACGCGAAACTTTCAACCGAGCCGTACTCTTTGTCTACGCCGTTCGTGATGCACCAAATGCTCTTCCTTTGTGGACCAAAACTATTCCTGAAAAAGATATAATATATATATTCTATCTCTCTTCAATGATTCCATCTATTTAAATGACTTTAAGATTTAATTTATAATTTACCCGTATAACGTTCCGTTTATCGTATTGGAACTCGGACTTGCAAGCCGCGTCCTGCTGAACACGCTGTCCAACATGTACTTGACAGTGTCTTTTGCAGATTTGCTGATGCCGGATTTTCTCTTATAGATCATGTCTGCTCTGTCCAACAGGTCTAATTTATCGACTTCTGTCAGGCTGTCACACGACATCGCTTTCGATAATAATAGCACGCTAGCTTCAAGATCCTTCCTGTGATACATTTCTATCTTGATCAACTCGCTATACCACTGGCCTTTTCTATATTTCATATGGCAATCCTGATCGATTAACATTCGCAAAAATTTTATCGCCAACGGCATCGTTTCCTTGGTCTTTTTAAATGCGTCGATGCACTTCGACAAGACTTTCAGCCACATGTAACCCGGCATAAAGTGCCTGATGTAATGCGGCAGACTAGAATCTTGAAAACTGTAAATGGACGTAATATAAATTTACTCTTTATGTCACTCAGATAAATATCATTTTATTTTATGATATTTCAAAAATATAAATATATTCTATGAATTACAATTTCCTTACCTTTCCGACTCCACTTCCAATAAGAGCGGCAAACGTTGCTCGGCCGAAAGTCCAAGCTTCCGCACGGTCTCCCATTGTTTTTCCTCGATTGCAGTCAATATATTAGTCAGCGTATTTTTAGCCTCGATAAAACTGTAAAGTATATACAAGATTGAAATTAAAACAAGGTTAAAAAAAGATATGGGGAACAAGAAAAGTATAATTACTCATAAAATAAGGCATTTATAATTACGCACTCTAGCAGGTGTCCCTTACTGCCGAAGATAGGGAGGTCACTTATGGTTATTTCCGGAAACTTTATCTCATCCATCTCAACTCTCCATAACGTTCGGAATACATCCACCAACGTCTCGGTGGGATCTCGATTGGGTATCAGCAGCGTGATTATTCTGTCAACCAATTCCTTCACTCTGGCGCTCAATAGTACGCAATCCCCCAAACGCTTGTTGACCGACGCGCGTAGTTTAGTGGCAGGAGTCGCCATTCCCGGGAACAGCGATTTCGTCGATTGCTTGTAGAACGTCAGAATTGATTGTATACTCTGCCTTTTTCCACTGAGCTTGATCTTCGATTCCTGACAAAGCTTGCGAATTTCGTCGGCTTGCAGTAGATTCAGTAAAACGGATATGTTCTCTTCTTCCGTGTTACTTTCAAACATAGATCGCGACACAAGCTCGTCGAAAACGGGCTTCAGATCGTTCGATATTTCGTCGTATTTAATATTGCTTATCCTGTGCCACGTGTGCTTCCTTTTCAGCATACGTATCAGCAACGCTTGCGCGCGTCTTGAAAGGGTAATCAGCGAGAATACGAAATCCAACTCGTCCTGATCGAAATATCCGCAATTGATCGGATTGGAGAGTACGGTGACAATGGCTAGGAAGAAATGCAGCGAGTACTTATCCGTAGGTATAACCACGTCGTTAATTTCGTATCTCGTCGAAACTGTGGTGTCTATGGAACTGTATTTATAGCTGAATTTTCCACTGGAGTAAACTTTTTCCAGATCGATTTCGTTGTTAGTGATAGCTCTTTCTTTGGCTAAATTTAGATTGCTAATCGTTGCCGATATCAGTTCCTCGGTTTTATCTCTGAACAATTTTCTTCGCGCCATCTTTGCGTGTGGTGACCTATCCAGCGCGTTTTTTATCGGCGACGACGTCTTCGGGGTAAACTTTGTACCACTGTGCGGTACCGAGTAAAAAGGAGTGCGTTGACTTCTAATGGGAGAAATATATCCAGTAGTAGGCGACATTGTTCTATTTTCTCGAACTTTAGATGGACTGTTACTCTGACTATTAGCTCTGATCGAAGGAGATACCCTGCTTTCTAACGAGACATCTTGCACTGCTCTCTCATTCATTTTGTGAGTTTTTGATACTCGTCTTCCTTTCTGTATATGAAAAAAAATAAAATAAAATTCATTATATCGTTAAAAATAGATTCAAATTGTTACTATACCCATTACACAACAAATGACAGCTATAACTTACCGTTTTACCAATAACTGGGCTTCTGGGTTTGATATTAGGCGATCTCTTGCTCTTGCCTTTTACACTCTCAGGTTTCTTGCTGCTACTCGTAACTTTATAGAATTGATCTATTCTGGTTTGTGCCATCGTTTATCGATGTTGAGGATGTTCGGATTAAATCATCTCATCGGCATGTCGGCAAACTCGTGCAACTATACTGCGCGTGTCGTGCTTCGCTGGAATAAACAAAGGAGACCCAGGCGCATTGTCGGAGACACACCTGGAGGAAATGAACGGAGGGCATCACTCTACGTCGAAGACTTTTGCTCTCAATCCTTTTTTATTTCGTTCGTACATTATCCTATCTCTTAAAAGTTATAACTTAATTTAAACCATAGCGTATCGACCAAGGAAATTACAGTATTTACACAGTCCATACAAATCACCGGCGGATACAAGTGTGTCGTTTTGTCTAAGCCATACAAGATCCAGAGAATCGTGGATCGTGCCGCGAGACGGAAACCCAAGTATCGACGGCGTTTTTAATACTCTCTCGTCTTTCTTGCAACTCTTCCCGGTTTTTTTTTTTTAAGTTTAAAGCTACGCGAAGGACGTCCGGGCGGGGGTGCGCGTGAAGCCTAGCGAAACGGTGAAGTCCCGGAGGTCGATTTCTCGCCTTACCTTAGAGATAAAGATCCAGAAGTCGCGTACGTACGCCGGAGGAAAGACTAAAGGGATTGACAAATCCGCGATTGACGCGTCTCGAACGTCGGGGAAAACGGCTGTACGGAGTCAACTCGGCGAGGAGCGAGCTCACGTCCTGGTGGTCCATGCGTCGCACCGCCGTGGCCCGCGACGATAACTGACTGACATCAACACGTCAGATAAGGTTAGGCCCGCCCGTCCGCGCAAACGCGCGGTTCTCACGTGGCGGGAAGCGAGCGCGGCAAAATGCGAACGTAACCTGCGCGAGGAAGAACTCGGTGAGGAGCACTTTAATTTATTGAACATTACGACGCGATCCAGCATGGTAATCCAGCCGCGATGATTCGCGCCAAGAAAATTTGTCATATTCAAATTTAACAACTAAAAAAAAATAACAAAGCATCAATTCTGAAGAATAAGCTTTAAAAAAAAAAATAGAAAAGGACAAATCGAAATTTATTTAATTCATTTTAGCAGGTCCACTTTGTTCGAATTTCGTCCTTCGTTATATTAAGTGTAATTTTCTGACGTAAACGAAAAAAACGTTTGCTCGTTCAAAAAACGCACAAGGAAACGTGATTCATCACTCGTCTGTTAAAAAAACTTAAAAGAAACGTCTCGTGGCGGATGCAAATCTGAGACGGATGCGACCGAAATTCAGGCTCTTACCAATTGCATTCGGCTCGCCGAGTTGCTCGAAGGTGTACCGTAAACAGCATGTTGTGACGCGTCGCATTCATTCATTTTCTCTCTCTCTCTCTCTCTCTCTTTCTCTCTCCATCATTTTATATATATTTTTATCTTTATTTATATATATATATGTATATGTATATATATATATTTATGTATGTCGTGTTTGCATGTACAGAGCCCACGAGATGCGCTACGTGTATACGTACATATGTATACGTGAATATGTACAAATCGTCCAGTACGCAACCGCCGATTACGTTTCTCTCCCTCCCCACGGAGTTACATATACTAATTAGAACATATTTAATAGCCAAAAAATGTAACCCGTAAATTGACTTATAATATATATATATATATACACACACACACACACACACACACACATCCACACACACTCAGTTATATCCGCTACCTCGCGCGCGCGCCGTTAATCGCAATGATTACGAGTTAATTAATACTTAGATCTCTATACATAAGTTGCGGGGAAATGCTGACTCTCTCGCGTCCACCTGGTAACACCTCTCTATTCGCTATTCCCTGGAGACAATAAAGATCGAGATGATATCTTCCTCGCGCTTTGGACGAAAACGCGCTTTCACGTAGACAGGTTTAATTATCGTTGCGTGTCGTTCCGCAATCAATCGGTGGCAAGCTGAAAGTGCTTGGAGAAATGAAACGTACACTTGATTCACGGAAATAATAATATGCGTAATAATTTCATATAATAATTTATGTATCGAGTATCCGCGGACGCTGTCGCGGACAGATAAGACGTGTTGCGTTCCGCGGCGTCGAGGGGTGTTAACAGGTGACGGATGGACTTGGATCAGACGACGGTGTCGTGTCGAGAAACAGATCGAAGGGCTGTTCGGAACGAATGTCCTACAGGATGTTCCGTATAAGTCCAGCATCACAGGGCATTTATCGATGCGCCGTTTAGTCATGAATCGTATAACGCACTTTATTTTTATACTGAATCAACTGCATAAAACTTGGTGTAATGAAAACGATGGTAGACACATATTGAGCAGATTGTATTATGTAAAGCTGTTATAAAAGCTTCCGTCTCTTTTTTTTAAATTTTTTTTCCCTACGACGCTGGACTCGCGGAATATCCTGTATGCACGTGATCCTTTCAACCCCCGCAAGTCCTCCGACTTGTACAATAGTTCTCGTCAAGAGAGAGATTACTCGCGCCCAAAGTTTCGTTCAAAATCGGAGCTTTGGCTGAAGCGTCGTCTCCGTCTTTACCTCTTTTCTCTCTCTCCTCTCGTCTATTTGTCTCTTTCCTCTTTCGTTCCGCGTTCGGACCTTCCTGTGTCGCACAGCGACGCGGAAGTCCTGCACCGTATATATTCACAGAATAAAATACACGTATATAAGTAGATACACATCGTGCCTCGACGCGTCGGTCGATATTAAATCGTAAATCTGTTTAACACGCAGAAAAAGTGTCGTGGAGCCTTCTCCGTTTAGATACCTATTGACCGGTTTAAGCTCATTCCTCTCCGCCCGATAAATCTCGTCCCCTACGCGCAAACAAGCGGCTTAGCTTCCTTCGCATCATCTTCGGCCTCATCTCGACAATTCGGAATATTTGCATTGATCGGTCTTAACTTCTACTTACATGATACACTATTGTTTCTCGCGCGAATGCAACGAATTGGGTAAACACGAAGTCTCACCGTTCGAAATACGATCAATCTCTCTTTCTCTCTGTTTCGTTTCTTTCCTCCTATTCTCCACTTCCTCACTTTCGCTCAATCTCTCGACGCGTCTTCCAACGCGCGCGAAGAGTCCGATCGAGAAGCGAGGATTTTTTTTTTTCCTTCTACGAGTTTTTATCGCAACGCAAGACGAACGCCTATCCGGTCTTAGCCGCAGTGGAATTTCGTGTTTGCCAAACCAGAGAAATGTAAAGCGAACTCAGTCTTTGGTTGGAGCGATCTTCAAATCTCGATTCTCGACGTTTTTATTTAACTTTAATGGCTATCGGATTACCTTTAACATTAATAAATTTTATATAAAAATCCATATACATCCGCTATGTCCTTGTTCTTAAAGCGTTCCAACTAAAATATAAACGGAATTACCTCTTCTCTTTACAAATACATTCTTCGAATCTTTGTGTGATTTTTTTAATCCTTTTCGTTCGCACAAAGTCGCTCGTTCTTCTCAAAGTCATTTGGCGGAAGAGTTATCGCTTTTTTCGTTTTCACGGCGTTGCTAAAAGTCTCTCGGTAGCAGCATACATATACGCTGTACGGCGTCGCTGTTTTGTGTATGTGTACGTGTACGTATATGTGTTTCACGGCAAGCAGAGAGATAACGTTTATATAAAAGCTATAGATTCTACGAATACACGACAGCAAACAAGGTGGAGAAGAAACGGAGGAATTTCGGTTTCGCGCGCCACACAGTGAATCTGAGAAAAACGAGAGAAACGACGGAGTATATCCTAAGGAGTATGTACAAACGCGTGTCAGAAAAAAACGGATCTCACAGGAAAAAAAAAAGAAAAAAATACATCCCGACAATACGCGGACGAAAATGTGTGTGTGAAGATATTAACAAAATAATAAGTCCTATCCCAGGATAAAATTTCTTTATTACTCCTTCTTTCTAAAATCGTCTTGAAGTTCATAAATTTTCATACACATTTCGCTGTGCGTCTACCACAACAACGTTTCTTTCTTTTTTTTTAATTACAGTTATTCAGTTAATTACCTAAAAGTAAGAGATACAATAAGCGTAATTATTTTTATATGTACAATATATCTTGTTTTTTTTTGTTTCATTTTATTACGATTTCGAGAAGTCTCCCTACGATTTGTAACCACTCGCACCATGGTCTTATCCCCCCCCCCCCGTTCTCGCGTTACGGCTGGCGACGAATAACGTTTTATGGCTCGCTAATACTCGCGAGAGATTCCTTTGGAAACCAGGCGTTCACAGGTAAATCGGGAATTCCCTGTTCAACACCCGGCGATTATACTCAATGATCAGTGCCTGCGTATTTCAACTTGCAACAAATAACAATCAATTGCTATGTAATCTCAAATTCATCGTTTCATTCATGTACGCGGTTAATCTGTTTGCAGTAACAAGAAAAGTACAACTATCAGTATGTCAAAGAAGAATATGAGTCGAGTGTGACTATAAATGGGTACAAAAGTGATCTCTATTTCTCTGCAAGGCATTCCGGCCGAAATAACTGTTCTGATCTCTCTCTCTCTCTCTTCTCTC